TCCCATCCCTTCGAATTCAAGGGCTGGAATTAATTTGACATCATCGGGAAATGATAGAAATAGCGACGATGAAGAAGACCTTCCTCTTTCAATCTTGGCAACTAATAGACAAGAAGCGGAAAACATTGATAGCACTACCCAACCTGAAGTAAGAATAGTTGATATCAGTCCCTTACCAATTGCAAAAGACAAACAAAAAAAGACTTACTCTAGAAAATCAATAAAATCTTCGATTCTCACAGAATCACCGTATAAAAATGAATTGGACGCCTTACTGAACGCAAAATCGAACAAATGTGTCAAATCTGTAAAGAGAGCAATCAGTGTCGAAAATAAAAATACCAAAACAGAAAACAAGTTCCTGTAAAAAGACAACCAACAACATAATGGAAAAAGCAACCATGGGTGACACAAGTTGCATTGTCTGCGGAAAAAAATATGCGACGAGCGAACTGGTACGAATGTTACTATTGTTCGGAATGGGCACACGAATCTTGTGGAATAATGGATGACCTTCATTTCAGTTGCACAAATTGTAAAATAAATGTCTCGTCTTGGGAAACTGCTTGACCCATCTTAAGAGCCTTGCCTCCCAAGACGGGACATTTGCACTTTTTTTGAAAAATAATCACAATAATGTTTATTTTCATTTTGTTACTAATTTAGAACCAGGAATTGTTTTTGATTCTAATATATCTGTTTCGTGGCACCAGAGTTGCTTCATTTAATTTAGTTTTGGAAATATATATTTTTTTAAAAGCGTCCCATCTTGGGTTACTCTCTCCTATTTGTAACTAAAGATACTGCAGTTTCGTCCTACAAAGACATATTCAAAACGAATACAATACGCCTTTGTAGGACAAAACTGTTGTAACGTTAGTTACACATACAAGTGGTTTAAAATTATAGAAAGTTTCAATTCTGAATTTTCATGATGCTCTACTACGACGCAGTTACCGGCCCACATCCATCAATTTATGAACCGATACATTTGTTTGGTTTGAAATGAATAATAACAGTGAAATTAGGACTATCACATCACGGGTTGAAAAAACTTATCTTCAACTTTTCATTAGCACTCTTTTGAACTCTTAAAGTCAAAAACGCGCATTTTTCGCTCGAGATTACGACTGTATATCATCAAAGAAGGCAATTTTGCTTTTGTCACGAACTCAGTTCGTAAGAACATTTGTGCAGTGGAAAGAAGAAAATCCGCACACCACGCATAATTCCTGTTCCCAAGATGGGTGGACTTTTGCCATTGATACCAATTTTTGCTGGACTATCCGCACTAGGGAGTTTAGCGGGAGCCGCTGCTGGTATTATCAAGGCCGTGAATTCAGCAAAAGCCAGCAGAGCGGCTTTAATGGAAGCCAATCGTCACAATAAAACCATGGAGGCTGTAGCATTGGGCAAACGCAAAAGTGGAATATACCTCAAACCGTACCGTAAAGGTTTAGGACTATATTTAAAACCATACAAAGCCGCAAACAAAACAAAAAACTAATTGAACCCCTACCTCAGAGGCCTCTTACTGATCTCGATCTCAGTTATTATGCACAAAAAATGAAAATTCCACATTTTCGTGGTGTTTTTATGCGTGACAGATTACCCTCTTCAGGTCCACGAAGAGGGTAATCTCGATTCTTTCGAAAATGTTCGAATGTAAAAATCAAATATAGCTATGATCGTCAACAGAAATTTAACACAGTTCTCTGTGGTCACTTGTGCTTACAGTTTCTCTCTGAATAATTTTCCAAATGAAAATGGTACAACACCAAAACTGGATCGGGAGGCTATCAAGGGAATGAGTTTTTCACTTAGAATGTTTTCAAAATATGGTACCTTGAAAAAAATGGATAAAGTGATTCTTGCAAATATGCCCAAGGAAGTGATATTTGCTTGTGTTGCACATGAGATTGCATATGTTTGGGAAAAGTTACCCAAACATCTACAAGATGACATCGATATAATGAAACATAGATATTGTTATGAACACCACCCCGATGAAAATTTAAATTCTTTTTCTTTTAAAAACAATGATTGCTGAAAAATACTGTCCTGCAGCACTCATATATACAGCAAACTACCGTATTGGTTTGACCTCGCTCTCCACTACTAATGGACTCAACTTGCTTTCTTTCCTTTGGTGCTAGAACACGAGATGATCTGTGCACGGTTGTTATTCCGGTCTCGTCCACATTGTAAATGCGGTCCGGGCGAAAACTTTATTTTTCCATCAGTGCTGTCACGTTATCATAAAGCACATTTATATCTGCTTAAATAAAAGCTAGTACTCTATTCTTACTAGTCGCTTCTGGCTTTCTTAAGAACAATTGAGGATGTATCCTTAGGAAACCATACAGCCATTCTTTTCCACATATGTACAGTATCGACCACAGGTTGGGGTAATATCGACTGCCGTGATCGATATTACCCATCATGAACATCAAAGTATATTTTCATGAAATATAGCGCCTAACCTCAAAATTGTAATAATGTGAATGAATTAACAATAACACACTAATTAAATTGGTTAGGACAAATTTTTAAAACAATATCTCACAAAAAAAGTACAAACTTTATTTCCTGCGGCAAACAATTTATAAAATCTGCGAAAAAACAACTTTATGTTTCATCTATAGACTTGCACGCCGGCCTGATCACATGAATTTTAGGTAGTTTGGCAACTATGTCGCAAAGTGGTAGCACGTATTAGAGTAGTGAAATTACGCTCTACTTTAGAAAAATTGTAGTGGTCGATATTGTTCACTGGTCGATATTAGACCACCTTCCACTAAATTATAGGAACGCTAAACAATATAATAAATGAAAGAGTACTAAGATGAAATTTCCCTTGCATGGTACACTATCGTTTTCCATGGTGATCTTTCGGGTTGAAAAAATTCATTATCAATTCCACATCATGACCTTTTAAAACAAAAACACGCATTTCTTGTATAAGACAGGATTTATGCAATCGAAAGAAGTAATTTTCCTCTTGTCACAATGACAGTTCGTAAAAATATCATTACGGTTTATGTGTGATCGATGACTTGTTTATTTTGTAGAAATACATGATCACTATAATGACATTTTCACTAGTTATTTTATTTTCACTACCGGTTTCATGTTTAATCCCATTATCGAGTCTAAAAACTAATTACCTAGTTTTTATACTTGATAGGATAATATTCGATAGTTTGTGAAACATTCTATTGAATGCAGTTTCATTAAACTGGTAAGGGTGTATGGAGAATATGTGTGATTGATGACTTGTTTATTTTGTGGTTATTCATGATCACTTCAAAGAAATGAATAAAAACACTTTTGTCTAATTACCACTATTTGACTTTATTTAAACGAGCGGTTTCGTGTTTAACCCCCTCTTCAAGTATAAAATTCATGGAGGAATTGTGTATGAGAATGTCTGTGCAAGTTGGCAATTTTCTACAAACCAAAATGAAGAAAAACGTTAGATATGTATTTGCAAATAGACTGTAAAAGTATAAGCCTATACTTTGGGTGTTTGATGATCTCTTGATACTTCCCAGAGACGTATAATTTCCACTGTTCTGGATTTAAAAAAATAGTTTCAGTCTTGTAGGTGGTTCATGTGAAAATCTGTGAAAACCATAACTCAAGTTGAGGATAATCAATGTTTTCCTTGAGTTTGACATGCGAATTACTGTATGTAGATGGCGCCCAATTCATTAGATTCTTCTGTGAATTTCAGTGATATTGAAGAATAAAAATCTTTTTACTTCAATTGGTTAATGTTATAGACGAACATTCATATTTATACAAATAATACTGATCTATTACTGATCTATACCCTAAGTAGTGTCCAACCGAAACTAGCTTTTACGACTGAAACCTAAACCGAAAACGAATTTCAGCAACGGTCTCAGTTTCGGCCGAAACCGAAACTTCCTTACAAGGATTATATTTTGAGGGAAGAATAAAGAAAACGTTATTATAATCAGTCAGTCCCTATTTTGTTATCTTTAAATTACAACGTTATACAGTCTTTGACATTTATACTTGTTGATAATCAACACAACAAACCCTTGTTTGAGAAATAATATTAATTGCACCTTAAAAATACTTGAAATAGGTGAGGTGTTTATTTGAGTAGGTGTAAATCGTTCTTTTGAATATTATTGATGGTTTCTCAAAAATATTAAACATTAAATTACTTATTTGAGTTGTTTCCTAATATTTCCTAATATCACAATTGGTACTCGAAATTTATATAATAAATAAAGTAAATCACAAAGTAAGTCACGAGTCACGACATGATTAGGCACGTGGACGCGGCAAAATGTCGTCGTTGTTTGTATGGAATTCAACGCGCCTAACATGACCGATCACAGTGCGGGAACTCCCGAATGCAGTTTCGGTTTCGGTCGTAGTTTCTGCAGGTTTGCCGCCGAAACCGAAATTAAACCGAAACTCGTTTTTTTGCCGAAACTCAACCGAAACCGAACTTTCGGTCGGACACTAACCCTAAGATGTTCAAGAGTGTGACAAACTGAAAATTAATGAGTGAGACATTTCAACAAAAAATATTGATTTCTGGCAGATATTAATGAAATCTGTCCTGAAAGTGAACAGCATCACGGTGTCTATCCTTTGATTTGAAGAAAGCAATTCATACATATAAGTATTATATTTCTGAAACTTCCTGTATAATGTTACATATTTAAATTCTAGATTAGGCTGTAGATATGAGTAAGTATATTGTTACTCATCTACTCGTATTTTCCGAAATTCTAGACTTTACGAAGGTTAGTGATAAAATTACTTAGTTAATTTCTTGCATTTATAAGGACACATAACACATTGGACTTCATGGCAGTTACAAACTAATTGAACAATATTAGAAGAATGCTTCAGAAAAGAATGACGGACCAATGAAATTAAAAACAAAATAATAGAAATGATTTTGTTTGTAACAATGAGTTTGAATGATTTGGTGAAATAATAAATTAACGGTAACCTTGCGTTGGTCCGTTCATTGCTACTTTGTGACGCAGTTGCCGGAACTGGTGACTAAATGATTGTAACGGAATTCCCTCGAGTGGCGCCCATGAAAATGTTTTAGAGGGTATCGAAAGCCTGGAAAAAATAAATATTATTATTTTTTGCCATCACTAGGAAAATGGCGAAGAATGATTCCAATAATTTACTTTTTGTTAAAAAAACGTGTTTATATTCATCTCACAATATATAAAAAATGATTGAAGCTATTATTTTTAAGAAAAGAAATTACTTATCCAGGACATGTAGGTACGGCTTTTTCAATACTAATGTCGATGGACTAGACTATACTATGAAGGATTTTTTCAATATTTGAAGTATTTGACATGAATCTACAGAACCGTAACAATTGTTTCACTATGCAGTAGCTTTTTCAGGCGTACGCAATAATAAACAGTATCCAACAGCCCTGAAGAAGAGTCTCACAATTGAAGTGTTCAAAGAATACGTTAATCAAAAATATCGTCCAATCCCAACATATGTGGGCTAGGTTAGGTTAGGTCTAAAGTGAGTGCGTCTATTCGACCCTCCACCGCAATCCGCAAGGATTTATTGTGGCCCACACCTATTCACACTCGAACAAATTAACCCAGCTTCTTAACGAAGCCGATTAGTTTGTATGGTGAGTGGTCTTTCAGGTCAGATGGTAAGAGTACGGCTCTGCCGAACTCTCAAAACCTGATTCGGTCCCTAGCGGGGCAGGCACTAAGTATGAGCTCTGCTGTTTCATCATTTTCCAAACAGAGGCGACACACACTATATTCCGACAGTCCCAATCTCTGCATGAATGATTCAAATGACAGTGACCTGTAAGAAGGCCTGTTATATATCGTACTTCATCCCTACTGTAGTCCATCAACTGTTTGGTATCAAGCTTCGAAAGGTGAATGAACGTCTTAGAGTGAGCCAACCCTGAAAGATTTTACTAGAAGTCCATATATTTTCTTGCCATCCAGGTGTTCAATGTTTGTTTGGCAAAGCCTAAAGCGATGATAGGTTCTGGTCCAATGAAGTTGCTTGAAGCCCCCTCCTTTGCAAGGGAGTCTGCAGTCTCATTGCCTTTCAGGTAAGTATGGCCAGCATTCCAGATCAGAGACAATCTGTCAAGTCTTTCTATCGAGGGGAGTTATTTTTGGCAATTTGCTACAAATTCAGACGTTGCTCGGTAGGAGCTAAGAGCTTCCAATACCGCATGACTGTCCAAGAATTTTTTTTTGGACTTGTGTATGAGGTTGGATTCTTCCAATCTCTCCGCACACAATTTAATAGCGTAAATTTCCGCTTGAAATACAATCGCAAAAACACCTATATCAAAAATACCTGTATTTTTTATCCTTCTGTGAACCAACATCTATCTGCTTTTGATATTTCTTTCTCCCGGAGGATTCAGTCCACTCTACTCGGGAACAGTACTTTATGAAGCTGTTAGTAGTTGACAGTTGGAGGCATAAAGTCTGAGATCATTTCTAGAATGCTGTGACTTCCAATATCAACCAATATCAACTTCCAGTGTGAACCAACAATCTGATGCACTCTGCATTAACATATATGTGACGTTTTGTGAATTTCTACTATGTTCTGAAGTATATTAAACTATAAGCATGATTTATCAAAAACTATTTTCACGGTATTTTTGTGAGGTATTTTTTTTTCAATTTACACGATAGTGGGGCCGAGTATAGTTTTCTGCATGAAAGGGATTCTTGACGATCTCATTCAACAGCAACTAGTGACAAACTGCACCAGGATTTGAACAATCAGATATTGACCAAATTTTCAATTCTTGATTTTTGTTCTCTTCCACTACCTTCTACCACCTTCCACCATTTTGTTAAAAAATCCTGCCAATTTCAACAAATACACAATTCGGTCAGACATCCAAATTTTTCAATATTCTCAAGTCTTCAGTGGTATCTGATTCTGTGGATTATGGAACATGGACCTTATTGTACGTTCTGGTACGAATGATGTGGTTCCTCTAATATATGATAGTGTGGTTGTTATGACCGGTGTCTTCTGCTGTTTCTGTGTGTATTCGGAAGCCACTTTCATAATTTTATCTGGGTGTTCGTTGTCTACTAGCCTCATTGAACGTGTAATTAGTGTTTTGCCACCAAGTGAATTTGTTTTGGGTGTTGATGTGAGTTTGCGCGAACTCACAGTTCACGAAGTACCTTGTCGAAACTGTGACCTACATCGGCCAGACCAACAGGAGAATCATTACACGCAGGGATGAACACAAATTATCAGTGAAGGGAAAAGTCACCACGTCTTCGGTAACTAATGTCAGCCAACTCACGCAACTTCACTTTTCGATTGTTCAAAACGATTTTGTGTTTTCTGGTGTTACTGCCTCATTTGGACGTCCACTGCATTCTGCATCATTGGTGTCTCTACGAACACGTTTAAAGTCAGCAAACCAACGTTTTATTGCTGTTTTTTTCCCCATCAAGAAGCAATTTGAAATGGAAACAGGAAATGTTTTCGATCCATTGTTTTGAAAATAACAGAAGTAGTGTCATACTTAGCACAATAACTCACAAGCTCATGGATAGAGTAGTAGGTTAGGTTAGGTCCAAAGTGAGTGGGTCTATTCGATCCTCCACCGCAACCCGCAAGGGTTTATTGTGGCTCACACCTATTCACACTCGACCAAATAAAACCAGCTCTTCGATGAAGCCGATTAATTTGTATGGCGAGTGGTACGGCTCTGCCGAACTCTTAAAACCTGATTCGGTCCCCAACGGGGCAGGCACAAGGTATATGCTCTGCTGTTTCATCGTTAATGAGGTAGCCGGATAGTCAAGGTGCAAGATTCACACCTTGATACCCGCGACAACCTTCCCATATGAGAGTTTTTGCACGTCAGCAACACTTGACGATGCCTTATATTCGACCGTATCTGTATCTGTAGAGTAGGGAGGGTGAGTGTAGACCCACAGCACTTAGGCAACATGTGACCCATTGTACATCCTCCCGAGGAGTTGTCCTCCTAGGTCATCGTTCATCCTGTCCTTTCCAGGAAGGTGGACAGGTCACTAGGAGACATCGCTTTTATATTGGCAGGTGTAGGCCAAGACTCGCCGAACACACACTCTCTTTGGCAACCTTGAGGTGTCTCACGATAGCCGCGAAGTTTTTGGAAGGTGCAGCGACATTACTGTCATTGCGCGGCTTCTTCAACCTTCTTGAGGTTCCCTCCATAGAGGTGCACAAGTGAGGGAGCTTTCCTACAGGGGCAGCCGGTTCCTTGCCTTTATCCAAGGCGGAGCTCTTGGCGCCCGCCGCAGTAAGTGCCCTTGCTGTTGGAAGTGGAGTGGGGGAGGAGAAGGGTGCACTTATATTTGCTGCCACTCCTGCCTCTTTCGCTCTCTTTCTCCTTCTGGTCTTGGCGCCGCAAATGCGCTCACGCCTTGGTGTTTGTATTACATCACGAGGTGATCTGCTTGTCCAGCCTCATTCCAAGCAGTAGATTGGAGTGGACGTTTCTGTTCATCCCCAGTCACCACCTTAGATTGAGGTGAGCACTTCTGTTCAGCCTCGGGATTGGTTTTTGTTTCTGTTGTTTCTGTTTTTGTGTTTGTTTCATTCATGTGTATTCCCACGAGTAGCAAGGAAAGAGTTGGTCACCTCTGACAGAGCCCCGCATTACCAGAGGTAGGCTGATCACAATGACGTTTCGCCCAGTTCCCCAAGGGGATCTTTCGTAACCGCATATCACCCTGCGGTCATTCAGCTGTCGGCACGATTCCCTACACCTTGCGGGGCCCTGCAACAGTGACAAGAGAAGTAGGTTAGTACTAAATGAAAAATCTGTAATGATATGTGTTACCTATGTGCTAGTCCCGAGACTTTTCAGCCCAACTAGTATGTGGCTTTGGTCTGTCCACTCGAAAGATAAGCCCTATCTTCTTCAGGGTCGTTTCTCAGAGTTACCCTGTCTTCATTCCCCATTTAAATTGATTGCCACAGTGTTTTCGCAATAAGGGTGCTTAATCATTTGGTCTTCCATAATGCATCTAAGATTGTTTTGCATTTGGACTCCAATTTCCTTTGCGGATAAGGTGGGTTCACAATGTATACTACACCACCACACCTTGTATATGCCAACTTTAATAAGGCTTTATGGTATAATTATGGTAGCTTACAATTTTTATATTATGTTACCTGGCTATCTGTCAATATTATTGAATTCTGTCGAAAACTTTCATTCATACTGAAAACCTAATTTGCTCGTGCCACAACTTTCACACACAACTTTCACACACTGTGTAAAATAGAATACTTTCAGCACTTGTTTCACAATATACTCTCATAATATCCCAGGTTGTCCATTACACAATTTTGAAAACCAGATTCTACATATTTTTACCGACGCATTCGTTAGACACAAGTTGTATTGAATTTTCCAGAATAACCATTTGATGATCAATAAATTTCTCGACTCCCAATTAAGGTTTCAGATGGATGAACTATGAAATAACCGGATGTGCAATAAGTCCTCATGCCATTGTTCCTTATACAAAAAAGAACGATTAGTGTTTCTGTTATCCTCATCCAAGTAGGTGAAACACGGTCCGTTTTTATTGAAACATTTTCAAACTTATACTGCAGTAACTTTAGTTACAAATAAAAGTGATAGAAAACATAGAAAGAATGATGTTGCTATGATGTGTGGGTGAAGAATTATGCTGATTGGTTCCGTGGTTCCTCTAATATATGATAGAGTGGTTGTTATGACCGGTGTCTTCTGCTGTTTCTGTGTGCATTCGGAAGCTACATTCATAATTTTATCTGGGTTTTCGTTGTCTACCAGCTTCATTGAACGTGTAATTAGTATTTTGCCACCAAGTGAATTTGTTTTGGGTGTTGATGTGAGTTTGCGCGAATTCACAGTTCACGAAGTACCTTGTCGAAACTGTGACCTACATCGGCCAGATCAACAGGCGAATCAACATACGCAGGGATAATCACAAATTATCAGTGAAGGGAAAAGTCACCACGTCTTCGGTAACTAATATCAACCAACTCACGCAACTTCACTTTTCGATTGTTCAAAACGATTTTGTGTTTTCTGGTGTTACTGCCTCATTTGGACGTCCACTGCATTCTGCATCATCGGTGTCTCTACGAACACGTTTAAAGTCAGCAAACCAACGTTTCATTGTTGTTTTTTTCCATCAAGAAGCAATTTGAAATTGAAACAGGAAATGCTGTTGATCCATTGTTTTGAAAATAACAGAAGTAGTGTCACACTTAGCACAATAACTCACAAGGTCATGAGTAGAGTAGTAGATTAAGTTAGGTCCGAAGTGAGTGGGTCTATTCTATCCTCCACCGCAGCCCGCAAGGGTTTATTGTGGCTCACACCTATTCACACTCTACCAAATAAAACCAGCTCCTCGACGAAGCCGATTAATTTGTATGGCGAGTGGTACGGCTTTGCCGAACTCTATAAACCTGATTCGGTTCTCAGCGGGGCAGGCACAAGGTATATGCTCTGCTGTTTCATCGTTAATGAGGTCGTCGGATCTAATTTGCTCGTGCCACAACTTTCAAACATTGTGTAAAATATAATACTTTCAGCATTTGTTTTACAATATACTCTCATAATATCCCAGGTTGTCCATTACACAATTTTGAAAACCAGATTCTACATATTTTTACTGACGCATTTGTTAGACTCAAGTTGTATTGATTTTTCCAGAAGAACCGTTTGATGATCCATAAATTTCTCGACTCTCAATAAAGTTCTCAGATGTATGAACTATGAAATAACCGGATATGCAATAATTCCTTACGCCATTGTTCCTTATACAAAAAAGAATGATTAGTGTTTCTGATAGTTATCCTCATCCACGTCGGTGAAACACGGTCAGTTTTTATTGAAACATTTTCAAACTTATACTGCAGTAACGTTAGTTACAAATAAAAGTTGTAGAAAACATAGAAAGTTTCATTTCTCTTTTCTTCATTATGATTTCCTATCACGTAGTAACAACGGCTACCTCCATCAATTCATTGAAAGAGTTGGTTTTATTAGAAAACAAGCTATCAATGTACTGATGACATTGTAAAACTGTTGAGAGGCTTTTTACTACGAATTGCTTTTTATAAATAATAACTTGCTTGCTTGTCTGAGTTTGTTCTGGTCTCATTTTCAGTCTGGGTGACAAGGTCTTTTTTGTCGGAACTTCTGTCGAAGGGCACCAGTATTTATGATCCAGGGCTCATTCAATTCGGAATGACTAGCAACTTTTTGAAAAATTTCATGGGGAGCTCGAAAAAATTGCAAAAGTTATAAACAATTTAGTTAAAAATAAGGGAAGGTTTGGTTTTTTACAAATTTCTCGAAAAATAATGAAGACATCCAAAATTTGGAAATAGATCCTTAAAGAGGAGGCAATTTCCAAAAAAGTCCCACCTCCCGGAACTCTATCACCAATATTTATAATTTTAATTTAGAGGCTAAAATAGCGAAAACTGAAACACTTGATCAGTTATAACTTATCCAAGATAGCATGTATTGTTAGAAACGCGTCGTGATCATTTTGGTTATCAATTTCGCAGATGGCTGGCTGATATGAATGATAAGATTGATTATTACATTGCTGACACTCATAAGTACTCTGTTTTTGATATTCTGTCACAAAGTTTTTGCTCGTGTAGTTTTCCTCATGCATTTAAAAAAGAAAGTATATAATGTCACGAAACCAAAAACCGTTGACCCTTCCGAACAAGGTGAGTTCATAAAATGATATGTCATTTGGATTTTTTTTTTCACTGAGGTGAATTCAAAATCTGGCTCACTTTTGAACAAAGTTGGTGCACAGAACAATAATGTTCATATTCATTTTTACCCATTCAAGAAGATGAGCTAATATCTGCAACTATAAAACTAAAGGACAATCTGACATCAGGTTCAGATATGATTCCATCATTTTTGTTAAAGAATTGTGCAGAATTAGCAAAACCTTCAACAAGAATTTTGAATTAATGTCTGATATCTGAAACATTTCCAGAAATTTGGAAATTAGCTAAAATATGTCCTGTATACAAAAGTGGTGAGAAAGCATATACAGAGTGGTCCAACGAAAAGTATGCACCTTGCTCTTCTCCTTTTTTTGTAACTTAACGCAAAAATACTCGGAGAGGTCAATTTTTCTTTTGAGGGGGACACATTTTAGATGTATTTTTCTACCTGTGCCTTCATCCCCCTAGCGAGGGTGAGTAACAACCCTAAAATTTCAAATAGAAAGTGGGGTCGAGTGATATATCATTTGAAAGGGCACAAAAATATCTTTCCAATGATACCTGATTTGTTGTNATAGCTTCTTCTGGTGTACCTCAGGGCTCCAACCTAGGTCCTCTGTTGTTTTTATTGTTTATTAATGACTTATGTGAAAGTTCAGCTTGTGAGCGGTTATGCTTCGCGGAAGACTAGAAATTATTTTTTATAATTAAGGAAGTTGGTGATTGTGTAAATCACCAATTAGAATGTCTTGTTGCTTGATGCAGCAGTAATAAATTGAAACTCAATGTGAAAAAATGTAAAGTAGTGAGTTATAGTCGTGAAATGGAGGTTTATACATTTCCGTATGTAATACAGGATTCAGATCTCCTGAGATGTAAAGGGATCAAAAACCTACGAGTAATATTCGACCATAAATTAACATTTGGTATACAAATTTCACAAAAAATTTCAGAATCTTTGAGTTTCATTGTTAGAAATTGCAGAAACTTTCATAATATTGAAGCTATGAAGCTGTTGTATTTCACCTCAGTACGTTCGAAGATAGAAGATGCAAGTATCTTCTGGAATCCATTTTATGAGATCCATAACATAGTCATTGAAAGAGTTCAAAGAAAGTTTTGTAAATTTCTAACTTTCAGAATAGAGGGTTCTCACCCTGAGAGAGGTATCAGTAATGATGTCATATGTGAACGTTTGAAACTTTTTTGTTTAGAGCATCGTAGAAAATGTGCGTCGCTCATATTTTCATTCAAATTAGTGAATGAGATAGTTAACTGTCCTAAAATTCTGGAACAAATTAACTTCAATATACCACGGCCAGTTTCATGATCTCAGTCCATTTTCAGACCTCTCGGAGCAAGAACTAACATTATGCTCAATTCTCCAATATATGTTATGTGTATGAATTTCAATAGCATTTGTTCCCATTTTGATATATTCTCCATTAACCTTCATAACATTATTAGAATTACAAACGTCTATTTGAAGTAGGTAATGATGTTTTACTGAAACGATGAAGTACTAAAATCCTAAGAGCAAGTAGCCCGATTTTGGTAGTGGGGACTATGTTGATGGGTTTGCTTGATAGTGTATTCCGACTAGTGAAAAATAGATGATCACTGAGGGAAGCGGCATTATTTTAATTCGAAAATAAAGGGTCCGGAATCATGTGGGATAATAGACTCATTCAGAACCCTGATAACTTTTTTCTGTAACCTGAATACCTACTCACACGATTGTGTGGCATCACGTTACACCATATTACTTACACTTTGCAGAATAGTTTTGAGATTCGGAAAGGGCATAAAATTTTCTTTTCAGCGAATTGTCTTCAAAACATTTTCTGTCGATATCTACTGCATCATATTCAAAAAAGCAGTCGGATCGATTTTTTTCTTAAAGAGAACTCGGCTTTGTTTTGTTTTCGTTCAATTATGTTTTATTTGCAATGTTTCAAAAACATTTTTTATTTTTCAGATACGATGGGTAGGAACCTAGATAAGTTCATCCTTCTCATGTGGAAAAATTGGGTTCTTCAATATCGCAAACCAATTCAAACTTTAATAGAAATCGTAACACCGGTTTTGTTTTGTATAATATTGGTGATAATAAGAGGTCTCTCCGACCCAGAGTTACGAAAGGACCAAATATATCCACCATTCTCACCAATCCCAAATAAGGATCAAATAGTTTCACTATTTCGTGCTTCTGATGACAAACTGTATGGGTAAGGAAATATCTTTCGATTAGTTTCAATGTTTTAATGAGTTTGAATGGCTTTATGAATTTTTCCCCTGTTCAATCTACAAAGATGAAAGAAATACCTGAACGGCTTTTTTTTTCATTCTTGTGTTTTGAACAAATCACTGAAGCTTCATATGGAACTATTTGCTTGGTGAGTCTCAGAAAGTCCGATGAATCGAAAATTATTTCGGCGAGACAACACGCGTCTCGTATCCAATGTGTGATGGATTACAGTACGACCAACAGTCCTTTCACGCACGCAATGCGGCGAATAGCCACCAATCTACGACGTATCCATCACACTTCAAATCGAAGCGTGCTGTCGACCACCAAACAGCACTGCCTTGATAGAATACGAATGCTAGAAACTGCTAAGAAGTCACTAGTGAGGCGAGCGCGAAGTAACGTGGAAAACCTTAGGTTCCGCGAGAAACCTTCTCGTTTATTCCACCTGATCAGCCGACCGCTGATCAGGTGGAATTCTTCTGGAAGGATATCTGTGATAACCCGCAGCAACTCAACTTAGACACTCCAGCCCTAGCGCAGTTCGAAGCCTTCAACAGAGAGCTTCGACAGCCTGACCTCAATGAACTGCGCAACCCGAGAACCCCAATTGACCTTCGAAGAGCCCTTGTGGGTTCCAAGAACTTTGCTTCTCCAGGGCCAGAAAGGCTGAACACTTATTGGTGGAAAAAACTAACAAGCACCCACCGCCATCTTGCCAGAGTTTTCAATTCATGGCTGGACGGAGAGCAGCCGATTCCGGATTCCGAGGGGCAGACCGTTCTCATCCCCAAAAGCGGAGATTCGAACGGATATATGAGCAGAGAGGGTCGAAGAGAGGAGTCGCTGGATGTAAAGAGAACCTGCTCATCGATAGATGTGTGATGCAGGACTCGATACAATATAAAAGTAGCCTTTCTGTGGCCTGGATCGATTACTGATGCCTTGCGGTACCCGACAAAATAGTGAGATGCATTGAAGAAAGAACTGATACCACTCTGGCGAACTCGCTTCATCATAACATTTAGTCAAGCCAGAGTCCAAACAGGATGGGTCACTTTCAGAAGGGGTGTATTTCAGGGCGACCTGTCATTATCCGTTGTACTCAGGAAAACTCAAGGGTATAACTGTGGCACCCCCGGAAAACGGAGGCTCAAGGTGACTCATTTGTTTTGTATGGATGATCTTAAACTTTATGCCTCTGGAAAGAAGGATCTCCATCAGTCCTTGAAGATGGTGGGAGAGTACACGCATGCTATCGGTATGAAATTTGGGATAGACAAATGTGCAATAGTTCATCTTAAAAGTGGTCGATGCGGAGACTACGGAGAGGATGTGCAGCTCGAAGATGGAGTCCGGAGAAACGTATACTACCTCGGGGTGGAACAACGCCACTCAGAAGAGGTAACAGCAGTGGAATTCTCTATCCGCGGCAAGTATAAGCACAAACTTCGACAGATCTGGCCATCGGAACTGTCAGGGAAGAACAAAGTTGCTGCAACAAATATGCTTGCCGTTCCAATCTCACTTTACTCGTTCGGAGTAGTAAAATGGACTTGGGAGGAGCTATATTAACTCGACGTAAAGACCCGAAAAATGATGCATCTATATAGGAGTTTGCATCCCAGATCGTCCGTTGTAATTACCCCGACAACAGGGAGGCCGTGGACTTTTTTGATTTTGGAGTGCCTACATGACAGAATGGTGCTAGATATAGCCTGAAAAGTCGTCAGGAGATGAGATCCCCTTCTCTGCATGATCGTGCATGATCGTGACCATAAGAGAGCAGGAATTTGAGCATTTCTCTTTAGGGCAGCTGCCCGAGCCGCTGATGAACTCGGTTTAGTTTTCGACACTGAACGAGGTAACCACAACTCTGTGATTAAGTTGGAACTCGTTCAGCGAAAATCTCAAATGAAAGCAGCAGAGGTCACCTCATTTCTTCAATAACATTGGAAACCTTGGCTTATCAAAGCCCCCGACTTTTGTTTTCTTCAGGTCGAGTGGGCTGAGGACAGATTCTACGTACGCCGCAGCTCTCGCTCGTGCACTAAATTTACAGGGAGGTCAATTGGAGTCGTAAACTCGACATCCATCTCCTCTGTAGACTCGCTCCTGAACTAAATTCACAGGGAGGTCAGTTGGAGTCGTTAACTCGACATCCATTCCCTCTGTATACTCGCTCCTGAACTAAATTTACAGAGAGGTCCATTGGAGTCGTAAACTCGACATCCATCTCCTCTGTAGACTCGCTCCTGAACTAAATTTACAGAGAGGTCCGTTGGAGTCGTAAGCTCGACATCCATCTCCTCTACAGACTCGCTCCTGAACTGAATTTACAGGAAGGTCAGTTGGAGTCGTAAACTCGACATCTATCTCCTCTGTAGACTAGCTCCCTAACTAAGTTTACAGGGAGGCCCGTTGGAGTCGTAAACTCGACATCCCTCTCCTCTGTAGACCCTCTCCTGGATTAAATTCACAGGAAGGTCAGTTGGAGTCGTAAACTCGATATCAATCTCCTCTGTAGACTCGCTCCTGAAGTAGATTTATAGAGAGGTCCGTTGGAGTCGTATACTCGACATCCACCTTCTCTGTAGACTCGTTCCTGAACTAAATTTACAAGGAGGTCAGTTGGAGTCGTAAACTCTACATCCATTTCCTCTGTAGACTCGCTACTGAACTAAATTTACAGGGAGGTCAGTTGGAGTCGTAAACTCGACATCCATTTCCTCTGTAGACTCGCTACTGAACTAAATTTACAGGATGGAGCAGAGAACATTTCTATGTACATACTGAAAATATTAATAAAACAATAAAACAATAATAAAACCACTAACTTATTTGATCAATCATTTGTAAAATGTATTGTTCCAGAAGGGATAAAAATCAAAAAAGGTGTTCCTATAAAGAAAAAACCCAACACTGATGGAGGATTATCGTCCAGTAACAGTCCTGTATGGGCTATCAAAAATATTCTCAGATCTCAGATCGACTTACTTAATTTTTAAATAAACACACTATGTTGACTAAGATGCAGTATGGGTTTTTTATATAGAAAAGTCAACATATAATAAATAAAACTTCAATTTCTTCATAATACAAAATTAAAATGACAAATTTTTTGACTCGCCCAAAAAGGTACTCTTGCTGGTATCTGGTGGACAAATGGATCGTTACTTCCTTTTGTTCTAACTTTTCATAGAGAGGTCGTTTCAGTTGTGGCCACCTTACGAATGATAATTCTCAGATGTCGAAACTTGTGGGAACTAGGGATTAACGAGGCCTTACCTTTTAATGTGCGACTCCTAGCACGGATGTACGAAACAACTACTTTCATATGAACATTGAATTATACAAAAAACATAAAAATAAAAACAGATATAAAACTGTAGTTTTGAAAGATGAAAATGAACGGTATGTTACAAATAACAGGTCGTTTTAATAAATTATTGACTCAGTTTCGCAATGAACATAAGATAGAAAATGATAATATAGCATATAGCAAAACTACAATATTTCTCAAAATGGTGGATCGTTCAGAAATAGTATATTAAATGAAATGCAACTGAAATACTCGAATGGTGTACATAGCACCAGCAATACTGATGGTGCTATTGCTTATGCTATTGCTTATGCTATTGCTTATGCGAACCCTTGGCAAACAATTAATGAAAGCCTATCAACGGACGGTCGGTAGCCGGGCGGTTCGACGTGGGTGCTTTGTTCACTCAGTCAATCGACTGATGTGTCTGTCGATGGTTCAAGCCCCAGGCTGAACGCTCGATTTTCACTTGCTATCGTCCAAATCGTATTAGGAATCACACGTTAAAAGGTAAGACCTCGTTAGTCCTCGTCTCGCACAGGTGTCGACTTCTGAGGGTTGTCGTTCGTAGGGGTGCGATAGGTGGTTAACGGAAAAAACAAATTCAATCATATATTTTTAAACATATCCAGACGGTCTTAATATAGCTAAATTAGTTACTATCTACCACAAAGGTTGTAAGAATGACATTAATAACTACTAATAGGCTTATTTATAAACTTAAATAATCCGTCAGACAAGAAATGTCCACAGAATTAGCGATATGTAAAGCAATTTTTTTCAAGGACGAAACACAAGCACTACAGGAAAATCCTTAAGGCGCTCTAAGAGCGGTGCCTGTGCGAAAGTAGCGATTCACGCAGGGTTTGAATCATTGGAGAATAAATCCATTTGGAAAAACGTTCTCAGGAAATTTATTTCAGATAAACGCAGTTCTCCAAATGATAGAGTTGTTAAACAGTGAAGTTCGAGGTGTACTGAGTTGAACCTCAAATCGATGAGCAGCCACAGTCCGTCACGGTTATTCCAAATAAACGTAGTTCTCCAAATGAAAGAGTTCTTAAACAGTGAAGTTCGAGATGTACTGAGTTGAACCTCAAATTGATGAGCAGCCACAGTCCGTCATTTATTTCTGATATATACTGCTCTTGGTGGAATTAAATGTGCCAAGTCACTCGAACACTTCCCATGAAAGTATATATAGAAGAGCGACACATCCCCAGCCCTTCTTCGATGTTCCAGACTATCAAGGTTGCAAGTGATGTTCGCGTCTCCAATCAGGCGGATGGGTCTTTTCTGGATGGAATCCAGCTGCTTCAGGGTATGCTTAGAGGCAGGGCTTTATAAAGCATCAAAAGTTGCTGGGGTGTGTACAGTTTTCTGGTTTGGAACAAGCTTTTGAGAAGCAGTCTTTGCAATTCCAGCGAAACGATTGTGCCAAGACATATTGATGTCCATTTTATTAAACAAATAATAGAGAATGCTTATAGCAAAAAACCTTGGTAGGCTTGTACTATGCCCTCTCACAAGCCTTTGACATCGTAAACCACGAAAAACTCGTAAATGAGCTGGAAAAGTATGGTATAAGGGGTGTGGATTATGAACTCATTGAGTCAAATCGATCCCAAGTTGTTAGGATCATGAATTCACACAACCATTATATATTATCTAGTACAGGGGTCGTCAATTAATTTTGCTCGGGGTCCGTTTAAAGAAATGAAATAACCATCGCGGTCCGCATATTTGACAAAACAAATTTTATTTATTAAACTTATTACTAATAACAAAGCTGGTATTTTGGTACATGTTAATGTGAAAAATTACATTGTTTGTTGCGAATTATCTGTCTTAAGTTTGGAGTAAAGTTGGTGCAAGCTATTGACATTAAATCCTGGAGATGCTCATTTGTAAGTCGAGATCTAAATTTATTCTCAATGAAGTTAATTTTTGAAAATGCCGCTCAACAAATATATGTCGATCTAAACAAAGTAAGAAGTTTCAAAGCATTTTTAGTTCAGGATATTTAGCACAACACACAAATTTTATCGAGAACTCTCCACTGGAAACTTCCGCATGTTTGTGTTTCAAAACTATGTTTTCTTGGAAATCGATCATTTCCATTTGAAGGGTAGCTTTATCACTTCCGAAAACAATAGCAGCTTCATTGCTCCATTCCCCATCAGGGTGCAGAGAGTAAATGCTGGTGCTGATAATTTCTACAACATTCTCAATTTTCTTAAAATCCGCGAACCTTTTTTCAAATTCCGATTCAAGATACATAATGAACATATTGTATTGACCGACGTCAATATCATTGTCACTACTGATTATTTTATTTAAATTGAGGAAGTGTAAACAGTCATTTCCAAGATCATTAAAAAAGAGATCGAGTTTTCGCAAAAAACTTTTAACTTCTGACATGAGCTCCCATATAAGCTTGCCCCTGCCTTGAAGTTTGACGTTCAGGTCATTGAAATGTTTAAAAATATCCATTAAGAAAGCAATGGCAGCTACATTTTCTTTTTCGTTTAGAAAGCTTAAGTAAGTGTTTGCTGAAGTATGATCGCTTTTGAAAAGATATGTCTCCAAGTGTTCTAAAACGCTGAAGTATCTTTCTAAGACGGCACCTTGACTTAACCACCTCACTTCATTATGTAACAGTAGATCTCAACATTATGTATCAACTTGTTCAAGAAATGATTTCAATTCACGATGTTGCAGTGATGATTTCGCACGAAGAAAATTTACTATTTCAATTAATTCTTGCATAATACGTTCAAAATTATGTTTGAATTTGCAGCATAGCACAGTTTGGTGAATAATACAATGGTAGGAAATAAAATTTTCATTGTAACTCGGCAGGTTGCTACTCAACAGGTGCACTAGTCCTTTTTTACTTCCAACCATTGCTGGCGCACCGTCAGTAGTTACCGATTAAAGCTTCTTCAAGTCTAACTCGTCTTTTTCAAAATAATCCATCAATGCTTTGATCATGTCTTCTCCTCGGGTTCTTCCTAATAGCGGCAAAAGACCCAATATCTCCTCAACAAAAGTTTCTCTCGTTTGGTCCAGGTAGCGTACAAAAATAATTAACTGTGCCGTATCAAGAATATCGCATGATTCATCCATAGCCAGGGCATAATAGTTTGCATTTTTTAATTGCCGTTTTACATCACAAATATTTCCTTCTGCCAAAATGTGAGTATTTCTGGTGTTAGTAGAGGCAGATAATGGAATCCGTCGTATCGTCTCAACAACATCTTTTTTGTTCTCAAATAAAGCATTACCCGCCTCGAGAAAGCATTCTTTAACTACGTCAGCATCAGTAAATGGTTTCATATGCTTAGCTAGAGTCCAAGAAATACGTAAAGAAGCCTCACCACATTTCTCCTGCTCAGTAATTGAGCGACTTATAATCTAGGTCGAAGATGAGTAACTTGATAGTAAACTTGCAATTTTAGACTTACGCAGATCACTACCAAGTGGAAAGTTTTCGGCAAACGATTTGTGTTTGGTATCATAATGCCGTTTTATATTTGAGCTTTTAATCAACGCCACTGTTTGGTTACAAATCAAGCACATTGGTACTGCTCCAGTACGATTAGGTAACGTAAAACAATATGAGTCGGTCCATTTAAAAACAAACATGATTTTTCAATTTATTGTAAACCGGCACATACAGATATTATCATTCATAATTCGTCCACTCACTCATATCAGCATAAGGTAGCAGCTTTCAACAGTATAATCCACAGACTGATAAATGTGCCCTTGTCAGAGGCGAATTTCAATAAATAACTGAATATAATAAAGCAAATAGCCGTCAACAATGATTACGATAGCGGTCTAATACATTATTTATTATCAAAAAAGTTATACAAGCTTTGAAAGAAGTTTACCCAATTCGAAAAGAAGAGGATACAAGTTATAGAACCTCAACCTACTTAGGCCAACCCACTACAAATATTTCAGATTTTCTGCACAGCAAAGGTGTAAATGCTGCTTCCAAAACCAACAACTCAGGCATGCACATAAGGAATAACAAAGATAAAAGTTCAGTTTCAGAAAAATCAGGAGTGTATGAATTATCGTGTGGGTCATTTCCGACATTTTATATAGGTCAAACTGGAAGAGCGTTCAAAGCCCACATAAAGGAACACAAATGTAGTTTCCAGAAAGAAAAATAAATTCCACATATGCCACTCATTTAATCTCAGAGGGATATGAGTTCAACCATGAATACAAGCCCCTCCATTTCCAGAAGAAAGTTTTGAAACTCAACCTGTTGGAGAGTATGGAAATGAACAAATTTAATAACTGTCCATATCTTATGAACGATCAAACTGAATTGAATAATTCGCCATTATTGAATCTGTTCATTTACGTTACACAAATTCTGAAAATGACAGGATTATTAGAATATGAATGAGGAAAGATTGAAATACTCTTCCTCTTTCTGATATAATTTGTTACCACAATTCAACTTTATTCAAAACAACCGATGAACAGTTAATTGGAAACAAACAATTGAGAAGGATCACGGGATTATTCCTCTCAAAATCTAATCATTCATCACTCATGACAGAAGTTTGCCTGCCTAAATTCTGATAGATTTGATATGAAATTTGAATGAAAAAAAAACTATGAGGAATCATTAATTTGCCCACTTGATCGTTTATCCCCGTAAAACGTGCATAAGACGCTATAACCAAGAAATGAAAAAGAGAACCCGATTCGTAGCTATATGATATTTTCAACAATACCTCAGGTGCTAATTTGATAATATACATTACATGCATAAGTATAAAACATATTTATATATATGAATTTTACAAATGCGCTCACCAACTAATCGAAGCTGGAACTTTTATGTAGTCCGATAATAACAAAGGTCAATTTTACCCAAACTCTTATCGTGATACTAGGAACCCGAAATGTTTCCTCGAATTAACTAGACCGAATAAACTGCTAATAATAACCAATAATGAAATCACTTCATGGAAAGGGACTTGAAATACTTCGTATTTTAATTCACTCAAGAATTTTCCCAGAATGGCACTTGACCTCTCAAAAAATAAACTTGGTTTCCTCATTAGATACTTTTAAGTATAACTCAACGGTTATTTTTGACGGGTAATAATGCCATACGTTGCAAGGGAGCCAAGCCTCCGACCGCTTTATAAAACACAGGCTCCACGAGACCGATCCAACCAGCGACATACGTCCCGATTTGTAATTTCAGTTGCAGAAATTATAGCGTACACCGTTAGTGTACGACTGCGTTTGTTTTTTATTTAATTATTCGAACGGGATACCGTGACGGACCGGGACTAAAAAATATTCCGGGAAATCGTTTTAGTGTTTCTTGATAATATTTGTTATTTGTATATAAAACAGGCAGTATCATATTATAGCAGTGCTTTTTGGTAATATTTCTAATGTCTTCTTAGAGTGTTTTCTTTCAATTTCAAGATGTTTTCAGGTTTTCACTTTTCGGTAAGTTTTTTTTTCATTTATTATGGATAAGTTGGACGAAATTAAAAAATCTGACGATATAGTCGATTGGTTGTTGACAAATAATTCCAAGTCTTCATCTTATGATAATAAATTTACCATTATTAATACTCTAGGAAGGCCTCAATCAAATTTGATTTCAATTAAATCGTCAGATAATCGACAAAATCGAGGATTTAGTATTAGTTGGTACGATAAATGCGATTGGTTAACCGGTTCCATTAAACGAGAAAAACTTTTTTGTTGGTCCTGATGTGTTTTATTTTCCGTACAAACCGAATACCAAACGTGGTCTAAAATAGGATACTCCGATTTTGAAAATTCACCTCATGTTATGGGGCAAATATGATTCACAATTTGGCACTTTTTTAAACGGTAGTGTTTTTTCAGGCACCTCAAAAACCATCCAAAATGAGCTTATTATAGACAGTGTGGCATATATTATTAAGAAAAATACAAGCAATGAAATTGAAAGTGTTTCTTTTTTTGCATGGGAAATTGATGAAACTATCGATTTTACCTGTACATCACAACTTTCAATCGTTTTTAGATATGTCAAAAATGGTAATGTGATAGAACGTTTTATGGATTTTCATGATATTTCATCTGGGCGTACAGCTGACGATTTGTTTAATTTTTTAATTCGTACGTGTGACACCTTTAATTTTAGGGAAAAAATTAATTGCGCAAACCTATGATGGGGCTGCGTTAATGGCCGGCCATTTAAATGGTTCACAAACTAAAATAAAGTCCGTAGCTCCTCATGCACTTGTCATGCCCATGCCCTACATTCAGTGTTAAGCAAAGCGTGCAACAACACAAACATTTTCGCGCCTCCGGCGGGCTTTTCTGTGTGTATATATTCTATATTACTTAAGCCTCCCCTGTTCTCCAATGCACGAGCCGTCACTGAAAACTATTCGACTTGAAAACATATTGAATAAGGCGTGACTTCATATAAATGATGTCAGCTAATTTTCAGAGTTAAAGGATGATGAAAAACGAAGAAAAATATTTGTCGTTTGGTGAAATTTGGCAAATTTGCGATTTTCTCTATCATTCTTGTAGAATCTATAACAATAACTCCCATTACTTTATGTTGTTAATTACAGATTTCCTGGAGAACTGAAATTAACATCCAACCTAGAGGAAAACTGGAAAACAAATCTTGTTTATCCAGTTTTTCAATTTGCCGGTCCAAGAAGTTACCCGGACCCCACTGGTTCGATTCCAAGTAAGTGATTTTTTTTTGAATATTTCTTTCAGAATAACTGAAACATTTCATGAATTTAATATGATTTTCAAACTGAATTTTGAACTCATTGGTGTGCCTTTACTCTACTCTAATCAAACTGCATTTTGAGGAGAGACTTGATGATGACAGCACGACCAGCTATCGAAAGCGCTCGCATATAATGAAATAAGAGTTATAAAGCATCAAATCCTTTATGTAACTTGTGTTATTATTAAAATATACTCGAACAGTTTGTGTTGTCCCCCTCCGTTTCGCGTCGGGAGACAACACAATCTCGAGCTAAAATCTAATAATTTTTCCCTTGTATAATAAATAACTTATTGTAGAACTGTCATTAAAAGTGACATTTTCAATGGTTGTCAAGAGTATCAAAAAATGATGTTTTACAAAGTAGCGTGTTGAAAATATTTTAAATACAAAATATCAAATATTCTTCCATTCCTTATGACCCTGAATTGTCCAGCAAAATCATAAACGTATTTAAACAAGAACTAACATGAAAATTTCACAAAAGAAAGTTAAATCCCTAATTAAACTACATTCAAAATTGAGAACATAAATCTGTTTTTTTCAGATTATTACAAGGAAGGATTTCTTGGGCTCCAATATGCTGTAACCGCTTCACTCATCCTTGCAAGTAATAATTTCACATTCGACAACTTCAATGACCCGAATCTAACGTCATGGGCACTTGAAAATCGTGTTCCCGATATCAACATGAGACGTTTTCCATATGCAGCATGGTCTGAAGATCCTTTGCTCGTAGTACTGAAGGCAGTTCTTGGATTAATTATCATGATAAGTTTTGTGTATACCGCCATAAACAACATCAGAGCTATAACTACCGAAAAAGAAAAACAGCTAAAGGTGAGTGAGTGCCTAGAAGTGCCCAAGATAAGAGATATTTCTGATCATTTGGAAATAAGATCTCAATTATATTATTCTAAGTTTTATCAGTAAAAATAGGTGTTTGTGAGTATAGAATGAGATTATTTACTTTTTCTGAGATATACATAATCATTCGTATTGGATATATAATTTTCATTGTACTCAAAATTCTACATAAATATCACAGGTGGATTTAAAAATATACGTGGAAAAAAGTTATTCAGTAAACAACTCATTTTTACAGATTTTTGTGAAAAGGCTTTCCATTCGTTACAAAGCGTTGAATTCTTTTGCAGTTGATTCTACTCATTTTCTTTTTGATGGATCTTTTCTGCTATATGTTATAATATTTTATTTCACTTGTGATACTTAATATATTGACATGGCAGTGAATTTCCATACTATAATATCAAAACTCAGTGTTACCAAGACATAAAGAAACACGTAGCGAAGGACTTGATACAATATAAGCGTAACCTCTCTATGGCCTGGATCGATTACCGTAAGGCATTTGACACAATATCGCATGAGCTCATCTTGCATTTGCTCAGATGCCTTGCGGTACCCGACAAATTAGTGAGATGCATCGAACAACTGATATCACTCCCCCGAACTCGCTTCACCATAACATCTAGTCAAGCCAGAGTCCAAACAGGGTGGGTCACTTTCAGAAGGGGTCTATTTAAGGGCGATTCCCTCAGTCCCCTTCTCTTCTGCATCTCACTATTGCCATTATCCGTTGCGCTCAGAAATACTCGAAAAACGGAGGCACAAGGTCACCCATTGGTTTAATATGGATGATCTTAAACTTTATGCCCCTGGAGAGAACGATCCCCATCAGTCCTTGAGGGTGGTGAGGATGTGCAGCTCGTAGATTGAATGATCCTACATCATTTGGAAGCCGGAGAGACGTATACTCACCTCAGGGTGGAACAACGTCACTCACAAGAGGTAACAGCCGTGAATAATCCTCTCCGAGGCAAGTATGAGCACAAACTTCAACAGATCTGTTCATCGGAACTGTCGGGAAAGAACAAAGTTGCTGCAACAAATATGCTTTCCATTCCAATATTACTCTACTCGTTTGGAGTAGCGAAGTTGACTCCGGAGGAGCTGTATCAACTCTACTTAAAGACCCGACAAATGATGCATCTCAATAGGAGTTTGCATCCCAAATCGCCCGTTCCACGGTTGTACTTCCCCCGACAACAGGGAGACCGTAGACTTCTGAGTTTGGAGTGTCTACATGACAGAATGGTACTGGATATGGCCTGTGAAGTCGTCAGTCCGTTGTGGGAAACGGAAAGTGCCGAATTTATTGGAACTATTCGTTCCTCACTCTCAAGTTCATACAAGCTAATAAGCCGGATGTGTTCCTTCTCGACCACCAGAGCAAGACGATATTTGTCGTGGAATTTTCAGCTCCTGGTGAGACGAATATCGTCCGAAAAGAGTAGGAAAAACTGATAAAATATCGATATTTTCTCTTCGAACTCCGCAGACTCTATTCAGACCACTCTGTCAAGATAGTTGTTCTGATTATTGAAGTCCTTGGTGGAATGATGCCCCCCCTACTCTCGAATCTTATAATCATACCGGCTTGCCGCACTAAGGCAAAAATCTTAGCCGCACAGATGCAGAAAGCTGTCATTCTTGGCTCACTGCGCTTGCTCAGGGCACATGATTCTCGGACCCAATGATCACTTACCCCACGGTGTGGGGAGTGGTTGTTGGTTGATAATGCTGGCGCGGCCTCCTGAATGTATCGGGACTTTGGGGTATAGGGCCTGACCAGCGCATACTAAGGTGAAAAATAATGATAATAATAATATTGTTTATTGTCCAACACTTTTCCATTCACAGAGCAGAGTTCACATGATTAAAAAACAATTTCATACTATTCAATATAAGACAAAAAAATATAAAATGAAAGATTGTGAACGTTTCTATACTCATTGACTATGGATTCGCACGAGACTCTTTAATTTCAACAACATAAGATATCGATCTAAGAGAGCTTGTGTGCATTACGCATAAAAAAGGATTATTGTGCCTAGATGCTAATCTTGGAACAAAGATTTCAATTTATGAAAACAGTCTACCTTGCCTTTCTATAACTTGTATAAAAATAAAACAGATGCCTACCAGGAATTCTCTGTATTGATATAATTCACGATTTCATGTGCTGATATATCATTTTTTTTGTCTCTGTTTCAGGAAGCGATGAAAATTATGGGTCTACCGAACTGGCTGCATTGGTTGGCGTGGTTCACGAAGAATTTTATTTTTCTTCTCATATCTGCTATTATAATGGTAGTTCTGCTGAAAGTCAATTGGTACAAAAATTCAGATTCGACTGTGTTTACTCATGCTGATCCCACAGTGATCTTGGTATTCCTCCTTTTTTATATCGTTTCAACCATAACATTCTGTTTCATGGTCAGCGTATTTTTCTCGAAAGGTAGTATAACTTACTTATATTCATTTTTTTTCATTTGCTGAGTGTTAAAAACAAATGACTGAAATTGTTGAATTGAATTTAATATTAGCAATATGAATTATCTTTTATCTTGAAAACGTCACCATCGATAAGGAATGTTTTCATGAATCTGGTTGCATACTTTCAACCCTGAAAAGCATAAAGATTTACCATAAATTCAAACAGCTGAAGTGATCTGCTAACTTCACTATTTTCAATGCATTACTGAAAACAGTACAAAATTCATTCCAGGATGTCCTCATCGTGACACCTTAGTGATGTCTTTTGATCCTGGTTGTCTTGCGAAATGGTTATAGAGATTAATTACGTAAAATGAAGTGTTGCCATGCTTGTCAAATTCATATATAACTAGACCAAATTTATATGTACCACGTAAATTCGTTGTTTCATTCATTCTGTTGGAAAAAAACCGCAAACATTCGACTTTGAATATCAGTGAAATAAATATCATACATGATTATAATACAAGACAAACAAAACAACTATTGGTCAAGTTATATCTGTCAAAATATGTGGAGAAAAAGTTTCAATGGTATAACACTTTCTCGATTGATTTGATCGATACTCGATGGATATCCATTATTTACTAGGAATTGAATAAAAAAAAACCTCGTTTTTTAAATATTCACGATATATTACTATCTGTACTTTGAATGCGAAAGTTACTCACCCATCCATCTTTGTTTCTTTGTACTGGTAAGTCCTAGAAGGCTAAAATTTGGTATACAGGGGTGCGCAAAAGTCTGGAATAAAATTAATATTTTTTAACCAGTATTTTAGGAAAAAAAACGCTGAAACACGTCAGTTGATTTCACGTTGTACGCATTTTTTGGCAATAAAATGAAATTTTTTTTTCAACCCCTTAGCTGCAACCCTCCCCAACTTTTTTTTCAAATGCAAACCTATGTCGTGTATGGGCTCATTGAAAAGCTCGTAAAAAGGATTCTGACCATACCCTTCATTTTTTATGTGGTTACAACGAAATGAGAAAAAACTCTTTTGAAAAGTTACAAATACCTAACTTAGTGCTATCTACGGGTGAATTAACGTGACAGATGCTGAAATTGGTCTCCACCCTCTACTTGGCAGGCTCCTAGGCGATGGTAAAACCCGTCTACGGAATTCCGAATGGTCTCTGCCGGTATGTTATGTGATTCCACTCTAATTCTGCTTTTTAGATCTTCAATATTAGCCGGCCTATTTTGATAAACCTTGTCTTTCATATATCCCCAATAAAAATAATCTAATGGAGTTAAGTCTGGGGATCTTGACGGTCATTCAATCGTACCACGTCGTCCAATCCAGCGTCCTGCAAATATGTCATTGAGATAATCTCTGACAATAATACCAAAATGTGGGGGAACGCCGTCCTGTTGGAACCAAAGTGTTTCAGTGAGGATATCTGGATCTGCTTCATTGGGAAACATAACAGCTAAAGCAGGGACTAATTCAAAGCGTTAAAATTCTGAGTAGCGTGCAGCTGTAAGGTTTCCCTCAAAAAAGGATGGCCCTAATATTCTGTTGTTGATGATGCCTGCCCATACATTTACTTTCTGAAGACGCTGCGTACGAGCTTCTCATATCCAGTGTGGGTTCTCCTGACTCCAGAATCGATAGTTGTGCCTGTTAACTAATCCATGTCAATAAAAAGTAGCTTCGTCCGAAAAAAATATGTTGAGTGGAAACCCATTATTCTCATCACATCGCCTCATTATTTCCTCACAAAATTGCAAACGCCTGTCATAGTCATCTTCCAAGTACTCTTGGTCAAGACATATCTTATATGGGTGGTATTTTTCTGTTTTCATAAACCTCCCAATCGTACGTCTAGACGCAGGATTGTTTTGGGCTAATGAAACCGTTGACAAATGTGAATCTACCTGCAGAGATACGGCAATGTCCAATTTTTGATCTTCGCCTAAAACATGTGGCCGGCCACTTCTGGTCAAGTCCTTCACTGTACCATGTCCTTCAAATTTGTGTAAAATCTTACCCACAGTAGCCTGGGAAATGTGATTTTCCAGATATTTTGCATTAAATAAAGTACACACCTCACTCTGACTCCGCATTCTATCCCCACATCTCATCAATATCAAGACTTCGATACGTTGCCTCTCTGACAATACCATTTTTGTTTAGCAAATCAAAAAAGAACACTTTGAAGGTACCTACCCAATTAATAAACTAAACATACATACTTTCAATTTCACCCAGAAATGCCACAATTTTAAAACTGAGTAAGACAATAGTTCTTATCAGGGCATTCATTTTGGTACAAAAAATGCAACAAATTTTTTCTATTTTTGGGGTACGTTGGGATAAATTGAAAAAGAAAACACAGAATGATGATTACTCGGTTTTATTTACTTGCAAAGTAAAACTTAACGGCAGAAATGATGACAAAGAAAACTTAACTTAAGTATCTAAGTTTAGGCATATTAATAACTAACAAATAATTGAAATGAATCACAGTAAAACAAAAACACTTATGAGATTTATGTAATTGTGATTTTCCACCGATAATACTTTGTAGTTGTGGATCAATTTTACTTGTACCAATTATCAAAAGAGATTTAAGATGCTCATCGGTTAACTGAGATCTATAAACATTCTTTGTGTACTTCATCTTGGAAAACGTTTTCTCACACCAAAAACAGAAAACAACCCACGAGCAAATTTATGCAAATTATCAAATTGTTTCAGTGGAAGACTCTTATAAAATTCCAACAAAGATGTATCACTGCACCGTAAATCAATAATTTCCATTTAGACTTCCGGAGCCAGGGTTTCAATTTCAGAATCAGAAGGATTTTGAAAAAGCTCAATTTCATTCGCAATGACATCAAAATATGAAAAACGAGTATCAAAATTTATCTTCAAAGCACTCAAAGTTTCGATTGCAAAATTGACGGGAAATTCAGTCTCTGTAGTGTGGCTGAATATTTCATATGTTTCAAAATGTGTGAAACATTTCTTACGTAATTGCGATTGAAATAGTATTATTTTCTGCCTGAAGGATTTGATATTGGTGTATAAATCAGGGAGAATGTGATTTTCTCCTTGCAATATCAAATTCAGTTCGTTCATATGATTTGTCAAATCGACATAGAAGGCTAACTTCCACATCCATTCACTATTTTCTAAATCGGCAAAAGGGCGCTGCTTCTCATTTAAAAAAATTTCGATCTCTGCTCGAAGTTCAAAAAAGCGCTTAAGGACTTTTCCGCAACTAAGCCAGCGTACGGCAGTATGATATGGTAAATCATTTTCTCCAATCTGTTGAATAAACTCGCGGAATTGTGATTCAGCCCAGTGGATCTAATGAAGTTAACAACTGATATGACTGGTTTTAGAACTTCAGACATATCCAAACATTTTCCGCACATGGACTGTTGATGAATGATACAATGTAAGACTAATGGTTTTGAACCACCATCATTTTCTACAGCCTTTGACACAAGTGCAACCACTCCTTTATTTTTACCATACATATTTTTGCCTCCATCAGTTGTTATAGATTTCATATTTCTCCATTGAAGGTTTTTTTTATTAATGGCATTTTCAACTCCCTTAAAAATATCTGCCCCAGTTGTTGTGCCGTGAATACTATCAATATCAAGAAGTTCTTCATACACTTCATAGCTTTTATCTACTCCGCGAATAAAAATGAACACCTGAGCAGTATCTGACACATCCGTTGACTCATCCAATGCTAGAGAAAACCACTTATGATATCCATTTTTGTCAGACAGTTGAGATGATATATTATCTGCGATGTCTTGCACCCTCCGAGCCACGGTGTTTGCTGACAAACTGACACTTTTAAATGAATTTACCTTTTCGGGGCATATTTCTTCGGCTACTGCAATCAAGCATTCTTTCATCATTTCTCCATTGGTGAACGTTTTCCGATTTCAAGAGCCACACGAAAGCTGGCGCGAGTTGCATACTCTTGTTCAGTATTCGCTTTGGTAAACAAAGATTGCTGCGATTTGAGTCGGCGTTTCAAAGCTTCAAATTTTTCCTTCCGCAAACTTCCTGTGTACTTGGAGTAACTTTGAAGATGTTTCGATTCATAGTGTCGTTTAATGTTATAGTCTTTGAGAACAGCTATGGTTTCATTACAAATTAAACATACCGCCTTATTACTGGACTCAATTACAAAATACTGAAAGTTCCATTTTTCTGGAACGTTCTGCATTCACTGTCGATTTTTCGCTTCTTTTCCATACTAACAAATCACACATAAAAACAATAAGTCAAATCAAAATACTTTTATTGACGGGTGTTACTTCATTTCACAATAGATAGTTTCGCTTCCTTCGCCTTTCCTATGCAGACTAACTCACAGTTGCGCCGCTAGCCTTTTTATATGCAATTATTACTGTCATCTCGAGGTGATCGGAATACACGAACCAGAACTTTCTCGAACCAACGCGGTAATTCCAAATATTTAATTACGCCTAATGCCACCTAGCGGGAAGCTGAAAAAGATAGTACATAGTACTACTGCTCGCCACTAGATGTCGTTGAGTGTCACAATACACAATAATGATTGAAATGCAAAAAAAGCGTAAGTGTGCTTAGATCACGCACTTTGCGACTATCTTAGTCTAGAAATATAGTTGAGGGCATAAATTGGCCCTTGGAACAAACTGAAAAAATCATTATGGCCCGAAGGCTTCAAAGTTTGGAGACCCCTACTCTAGACCATTAACAAAATCAATCGTGTTACTTTTCGGTGATCGATAATATGGAAAAAGGTTTTTTACGTCAGAGTAAATTAGTTGTGAATTGGGTGGGAGTTTGACAATTTGTATTCTGTTAACTAGTTCATATGAGACTGGCTGGAACGAATTGTTCTTTCAGATGATTTGTTTCAGTTCATATGAGTTTTCAATCGAGAACTTTGATGTGAACTTTGTGTGATGTTTGAAAAAAACTAATTCCTCGGCTAATACCACGCTGGATATTGAATTATATCTGATATATATTCATGCAAGATACCTCATAGAGGCTAGTCTCGCAGATGTTTCTCGTCCATCCAGCAGTAGGATCATGCTGAAATCATTCAAGTAAATCACCTGCCGACCGCGGTTTTGAGGTATTACCTCTCATCAGTACAGGAAAGATCGTACCCAGACAGCAAAGTGCTTGGGACCCGATTGATTTCAACATGGCTCCGCTGCATATATGAAACCTTTTTCTGAGAGAAAAATGTTTAACTAGTTACAAGTCCATGTCGTGTACAAAGCCCCAAACGGAAAAGAAACATCCCATGTAGCAAAACTCTACCAGAAATCAAAAATGAAAACTATCGAAGAGAGGTATCTGTATCTGTAGAGTAGGGAGGGTGAGTGTAGACCCACAGCACTAAGGCCACATGTGACCCATTGTACATCCTCCCGAGGAGTTGCCCTCCTAGGTCATCGTCCATCCTGTCCTTTTCAGGTGAACAGGTCACTAGGAGACATCTCCTTTATATTAGCAGGTGTAGGCAAAGACTCGCCTAACACACACTCTCTTTGGCAACCTTGAGGTGTCTAACGGTGGCCTCCGCCAAGGTTTTGGAAGGAACAGCGACATTATTGTCGTTGCGCAGCTTCTTAAACCTTCTTGGGCTTCTCTCTGTGTAGGTGCACAAGTGGAGGAGCTTTCTTACAGGAGCAGTCGGTTCCTTGCCTTCATTCAAGGCGGAGCTCTTGGCGCCCGCCGCAGAAAGTGCCCTTGCTGTTGGAGGTGGAGTGGGGGAGGAGGAGGGTGCAGTCACAGTTGCTGCTACTCCTGCCTCCTTTGCTCTTTCTCCTTTTCGTCTCGACGCCGCAAATACGCTTACACCTTGGCCTTTGTATTATATCACGAGGTGATCCGCCATGTCCAGTCTCATTCCGAGCAGTAGATTAGGGTGGACATTTTTGTCTAACCCCAGCCACCGCCATTGATTGAGGTGAGCACTTCTGTTCAGCCTCGGGATTGGTTTTTGTTGTTTCTGTTTTTGTGTTTGTTTCATCCATGTGTGTTCCCACGAGTAGCAAGGGAATATTTGGTTACCTCTGGCAGAGCCTCGCATTACCAGAGGTAGGCTGATTACAATGAGATTTCGTCCAGTTCCCCAAGGGGATCGTTTGTAACCGCATATCACCCTGAGGCCATTCAGATGTCGGCACGATTCCTTAGACCTCAGCTTGAGTAGGTTGCATGTTTTGCAAAGGCTTCAGGGGAGTTTCAGTTCCTCTCACTTTACTTATTTCTGCCACTGACCAGGAGTCCGGTGACCCCGTACGTAAGGTCATATTGGCTTCCTGGACAGGGCCTCCAGTCCCCTGGCCGTTCCCCTGTCCGCCACCTGGGGACGCGCTCGACGTAGCCCAACCCACGGGTCGAGGAGAGGTAAATACGTATAAGCATAATTTGGAAATATTCATTTTCTCCTCGATAGGTTCCATTCTGGATTTCTCTTAGATAATAATGACTCACCAGATATTCGAACAGCACGATTCGATTTTTTTGTTTTTCTGGTGAGACAACTCTGTGTTTTAGAAGCTTTGAAGGCATATCCCAACCCTACAATCTTCACTTGGTCCTTGTTGATGAATTTCGTTGCTTAACTACTTCACCAGGATATGAGTTATCGATGGTGATGTTTTCAAGTACCTACAAAAAAGCTTGGTATTCAACAGGATTTTCTTTTGAGAATGGAACCTGGGATACTCCTACTTTTGGACTTTTTTTGTATTAGGATATGTGAAAAAAACATGATGACATCATAACATAGTTGCTCAATCTATTCCATTCACTCACTGAACTATATCCGTCTGTAACAAGATTGAACAGTACAGTATTTTTTATTTTTTTCAGCCAATACTGCTGCCACAATAGCTTCTATAGCTTGGTTTTTGTCCTACGCGCCCTTCACATTTATGCAGAGAAATTATGAAAATGTTTCCGCTACCACTAAAATATCATCCAGTTTGGCTCACAATACCGCAATGGCTTTTGGTTTTCAAGTTATTATTATGTATGAAGGAACTCAAGAAGGTAATAATAATATACTTTATTGTCATTAAGAATAAATCTTGTGGACAAAGCTTGTGAAAAGTACATACAAATGTAAGTATCGAAATATAAAATGTGAATATAAAAACACCTACAAAAAGGTAAAGTTAGAACATACACTATAGTTCAATATCGAAATTTTGTCTCAACATGGTTGTGTACAGACTTGTTTAAAAATATTATCAACACTTATATAATAGATATATAAACAAATATACGTATATATAATATTAGATAAATAAACACACCCATCGCATCAGACAATCGAACACGTAAATTCATCATTACAGAACTCTTGCAAATCATAATAGGGTCTATCAGCCAAAAATGTTTTTACTTTTATTCTAAACATTTTGTTGGTCAAATTTGCCTGTCTTATATCTGAGGGCAAGTGAATAAACATCTTGACCCCATTGTAATGAATAGAATTCCTGACTTAATTTGTTGAAGGAATTGGCAATTTCAACGCGGTAGAACGGGTGCTATAAGAATGACATGAAGCCTCAAATAGGGACATATTTTTGTAAATGAGGCAAACCGTTTCGATAACGAACAAAGCAATCACTGTTTAAATCTTTTGTTTGTGTCTGCACGAATCACGTGGTTAAATCTTACACATATACCTGATAGCCCGTTTCTGCAGTACCTACTAATACAGACAGAAGTGCTGATGAATTGCATACTCCCCAAAATGGTATTCCATAACGTAGGTGGGATTCAACGAGGGCGTAATACACCGTTCTGGCAGTTTTGATTCCCAAATTTAATGAAGAACAAATTGTACTTTTAAGTTGTTTAATATGCTCATTAAATTTGAGCTTGTTGTCAATGTGAATACATAGAAATTTAGATTGAGTCTCGTTCCTGATCTCTAAGTTATCACCGAATGATAGGTCATCAAGAGCACATCTAAATGATTAAATCTTTGTTTTAGTGATATTGAAGGATAGCAAATTAGCATCACACCACCCCTTGATTCTTTTCATATCAGTAGATATTGCATTGTGTAAATCATTTGAGTTTTTGTTGTTCCACAATATCGTCGTGTCATCAGCGAAAAGAGTGAAATTTCCTGAAATGTCTAGATNATTTAATAAGAATAAGATGGGTCCCAAAACTGATCCTTGTGAAACACCACACAAAATTTCCTTTTTTTTTTCTGAAAGTCCTGTTGTTCTTACCATTTGACTCCTTCCTGAAAGGTAGGAATCAAACCATTTGAGCGACATTTGTATTGGTGAATTTTTCTTAGCAAGATCTTATGATCAACGCAATCAAATGCCTTAGAAAGATCACAAAAGACCGCAGCTGCTACACTACCAGAATTAAACTTCGGGTAAATATCATAAAGAATCGAAAAGATGGCATCTTGCGTGTTTTTATTGGCTTTCACTTAAAATGTTGTGGTTAATTTTTTGATTTTTCGGCTCGGTATGCCAAACGTTTCGTCTGCAACTGCGGCAAACATCATCAGGAATTATATCATTGATGATGTCTACCGAAGTAACAGACGAAACATTTGGTACTTCAGGTTCCATTCGACCACGGCCTACCAGCCCGGATTTTGTTCTGTTCAATTGTTCATTCAGATACATCATTTGTATATACATATTAGGTTGTAACTGTAATATTTCAGTGGATGCCTATTCAGCTCCATCAAAATGAGCGCTATTTGAATCAGTGCACTTTCTCCGACGTAACATAAGTGGATTCTTTCCATCATTTGTGCTCGGGATTCGATGAAATCGACGAAGGCCGCTTTTGCCTGGTCTTGATTGACGAAGGTTCTACCTATGAGAAAGTTGGCGAAGTGCTTGAAGAGGTGGTGGTCGATTGACGGAAGATCTGAAGAATTTGGTGGGTGAGGCAGAACTTCGACGTTCGATTCATTAAATTTTTGGACGGTGATTTATGGAACGTGCAGACGGCCGTTGTAGTCGAGCAGGATCGGATCTCTTCTGTTAACTAGTGCCGGCTGCTGCTGCAGCAGATTTTTCCAATACGTTTTAAAGCATCAAAAACCGCATGGGGCTGACGCCCAGTTCTTCCTCCATCCCACGCATCGTTTATGGTGGATTAGTCTCCACAGGGGCCTCAAATCCTGGTCCTGGGTTACTGTAGGTTGACTACTTCAGAGCTCATCTCCGATACTGAAATCTGTTTTTTTTTCAAGGACAAAACACAAGCAAATCCTTAAGTCTTCCCCAGAGTGGTGCCTGTGCGAGAGAAGCGATTCACATTGGATTTGAATCACTGGAGATTGAATCCATTTGGAAAAATGTTTTCAGGAAGTTTATGCCACATCAACGCACTTCTCCAGATGGAAGAGTTCTTGAACAGTGGAGTTCGAGGTTCACTGAGTTGAACCTCAAAACGATGAGCAGCCACAGTCCGTCGCATATTTCTGATATGTACCGTTCTTGGTGGAATCAAATATGCCAAGTATGATGTATACCTCCCGTTAAAGTATCTATAGAAGGGAGACAAATCTCCAATCTTTCTTTGATGTTTCGGGCTATCAAGTTTGAACGTGATATTCGCATCTCCAATCAGGCGGATGACCCTCTTCTGGAAGGAATCCAGCAATTTTAGCATATTTCTGGGGGCAGAGCTCCATACATGAGAACAATACTCCAAAGAAGGTCTGATCTGAGCTTTATAAAGCAACAAAATTTGCTGAGGTGTGTACAGTTTTCTGGTTTGGACCAGTGTTCCAAGCTTTTGAGAAGCAGCCTTTGCAATTCCAGCGACATGATTGTGCCAAGAGATATTGGTGCCCAACAAACTCATCGACGCAAAAAGCGGAATTGTCTGACCTGACATTATTATATCTGGTTCGGAGACATTCATCTTTTTGGAGAAAACCGATGCCTAAGTTTTTGTGGCATTGAATTTAACGTGGTTACTTTCACCCCAATTCTAAATATCTTCTAGATCCTCATTAAGATATGCAACCTCCTGCTGCCGGTGAAGATGTGCCTCCGTAGCCAATGTCCTGGAATCCAAATGGAATGACGAGACAATTATGCTGTCATTAGCAAAGCAATATATTGGATTCTTGTTTTTTTTCTAATAAGTCGTTGATATATAATAAACAGAGGGTTGAAGACAATATGGATCCCTGGGGAACATCAGCGTTGATAATGAAAGTATTCGAGAGATATCTATCGACGGCCATTTGCAGCAAACGTTCTTTCAGGAAGCTGAAGAGCCATACACAGAAATGATCCGAAGCTTGGCCAGCATCGAAGTTTGGCCAGCATACCCTCATGACACACTCGGTCAAAGGCCTTAGAAATATTAAGTGTAACAGCTTTTGATTCTCCATGTTTGTCGATTGCGTTATTCCAAATATGTGTGACATACGATAGAAGGTCGCCTGTAGATCTTTGTTTCCGAAAGCCATATTGAATATCGCCTGAAATGTTGAAGCCTTCCAAATATTTGGGAATATGGTGGTTTACGACTCTCTTCATGATTTTTGATATCACTGATAGCGAAGCGACTGGTCTATAGTTATTTGACAGATTTTTCTTGTCCTTTTTGGGAATAGGTTGAATACGAGCAATCTTCCAACAAAAAAAACCTTTTTTGTGAGACAGGTTGAAAACTGGAACGAAATTTCCCAAACCAACGTCAAACAAAACGTTCATCAACACTATCATTGCCAAATGCAATGATCTATAGCAGCTTTCCCCACCGATGAAATGGTATATATTATATAACATTTTTTTCTTGAATTGAAGGGGTTATACTTTTGAGAGTGATTAATTTCTTTCTCTTCTTATCATCTAAGCTTTGCAACCTGATAGGTCTCTATGGCACTCGAGTAAATCGCCATTTTGCATCGTGGGCTCCCCTGCTATATAGTAATATCAAAACGCACAAAACTTTTGAAATTACCTGATTGTTATGAAAAAATAAATGTTACGAAATGAAATTTCGAAACATTCATCTCTCTCAACATACCTACACAGTGGGTCTTGATGAATGTCTGCCGGAAAACAACTACTTTCCCGGCTAACAACACGCTAGACATCCGACAGATATTTATGCAAAATATCTCATGGAGGTTAGTTTTGAAGATCTTTCTGGTTCATTCAACAGCAGAACCATACTGAAATCAATCGATTAGATCACGTACAGACCTCTCGTTAGTGCAGGAAAGATCCGACCTAAATAGAAGTGCGCTCCAATTTCAATGCGGCTTGACTGCATGTATGAAACCTTCCTCTGAGAGAGTAATTGTTAACTAGTAATAGCTCATTCTTGTGAACAAAGCTTTGTTGGATCATCTACAGACCGGTTCCAAGGTTCTACAGACCGGTTCCATCAGTGCAGGAAAAAGCCGTTCTAAACAGCAGTGTGATTGAGATTCGATAAATTTCAATCGAAATCGTCAGATTATTGAATGAGAGCTTTCTTTTGGTGCACTCAACACCCTCTTAGAAAATCTGACGCGCTCGATTAATTTTTTTTTTCATTTTCAACCCTTACGTACAACCACCCACATCATGCAAACGATCAGATTAACATACCAACATTATTTAAAATACGTAGGACATTGATGTTATCAATATCTGACACGCTCGAGTATGTCCATGCAACAGTTTTGTTTTTTACATATTTGATGATCTATAGCAGCTTCCCCTACCGATGAAAAGGTATATATTATATAACATTTTTTTTCTTCTTATCATCTAAGCTTTGCAACCTGATAGGTCTCTCAATGACGCTCGAGTAAATCCCCATTTTGCATCGTGTGCTCCCTTGCTATATAGTAATAGGCTCAAAAGAGGCAAAGAATTGAAGTTATTAAAAAATGAACAGCTTTAATGCATAGAGTACAAAATTCTTCAACGATCAGTATGAACCACGACACAGTAGAGTAAATACTTATTGAGATATGGATCTATAGAAACACATGATATCAAAACGTACAAAACTTTTGAAATTACCTGATAGTTATGAAAAAATAAATGTTTCGAAATGAAATCTTGAAACATTAATCTCTCTCAACAACAGTGGGTTCTGATGGATGTCTGCCGGAAAACAACTACTTTCCCGGCTAACACCACGCTAGACAGACATATATGCAAAATACCACATGGAGGTTAGTTTTGAAGATATTTCTGGTTCATCCAACAGCAGAACCATGCTGAAATCAATCGATTAGATCACGTACAGACCTCTCGTTAGTGCAGGAAAGATCCGACCTAAACAGCAGTATGCTCCAATTTCAATGCGGCATGACTGCATACATGAAACCTTCGTCTGAGAGAGTAATTGTTGACTAGTAATAGCTCAATCTTGTGAACAAAGCTTTGTTGGATTATCTACAGACCGGTTCCAAGGTTCTACAGACCGGTTCCATCAGTGCAGGAAAAAGCCGTTCTAAACAGCAGTGTGATTGAGATTCGATAAATTTCAACGCAGATCGTTGTAGACAATGACCTGAAAAATGATTTCAACTCAGTAAATGATGTAAATGAAATTTGAGTCCCTTTCCTTTTGAGTCCTAAATGATGTTCTGCAAATCTTTTGATACATTCAGCGACATGGTTTGAACATTCTATCAGGGTTCACACAAAATCCTGATAGGTTGGGATTTTTTCCACACCTGCAACCATACCGTTGAAGCCTGTATTCAACTGAATGATGTCGAGACTCGTCCACTACACACATCTTGCTTTGTCGATGACAGACGAATAACGAACTAATCCAAAACAGAAAGAAGTTTTTAGGCTATTCGGTAGAATAGTGCAACAACATGTACAGTTAGAAATAATTTATCTTCAGGAACAGCCTACCGTATACTTTATGAGAATATCGATGTAAATTAGGGAAAAGTATTGTTGAGAAATAGATGTTTGAGATGTCAATATTTTTTTTCTTTTGCCCTTTCTTTTTCATTCAGATGTCATTCAATCACTTACTATCAATCAGTTCTTGTTTGTAATTCCATTGGTGCTTCAAGTGTTCTCTGAGATTTCTATGAAATACAAATACGAGGAATAAATAACTTATCATTCTAATATTTAGTTCTTAAAAATATAAAATAAATTTACATCACTGCTGAGATATATTGGCAAATTGTGATCAACTGATCATTTCCATCTCTTCATGCGAATTTTAATTGATCAATGTAGTTAAGTCTTCTACCTTCAGGTTGCACAACGAATAAATTTACTTTCTATCACGTTTTAGTATTTTTTCCACGACATACTCTCCCAAAGCCGCAAACCACATTATTCTTCACCAGTAAAACCTCCATTACAGCCTCCAAAAGTTGCACCTATTATTTAGAGGCGTTTGCAGCTTATAAGGTAGTCCTCTTATTTTGCATTCTGCATTGTAAATGAAATAGTATTGTAATTTGTAGGAAGATTACTAGCGCTTCAACGGAATATATCCATAACCATCATATTCAAACCTGTAAACGAAATACCCATTACTACCTCTTGGGTAGATAGCCACTAGGAAAATTAAGTCCAAAATTCGCCACCCGCGACCTAAATTTAGCCAGACACGATACACATTTCACCATTTATGGACCACGGCTTTGCCCGCATAGAATTTGGTTTGTCACATTAAGTTTCGTGACTGACCATTTTGAACAAATACTTACCATATTTTTTATCAACCCACCAAAAAATGGTGTAACTAACATGATTTTACGACTTTTATGAACTGAATCAAAGTAATTATCTTGATATGTGCCAACTGACTGTTATGGAACTTAGACCTTAGATATACTTAGATATATATCCTAGTGTGAGTTCTACTAGCATATTCGATGGAAAAAAATTGACATCTTCAGTATTTACTAACCCATCGTTAACAGGTGTTTGCTGACTAAAATGAAAATAATTTTTCAGGAGTTCAGTGGAACAATATTTTCAAACCAAACACTCCTGATGACTCTCTATCACTTGGATTGATAATGGTAATGATGGCTCTAGATTCTGTAATATACATGCTCGTGACGATATATGTAGAAGCAGTTAATCCCGGCGAGTATGGAGTCGCCTTACCTTGGTATTTTCCTTTCACCGCTTCGTATTGGTGTGGACAGAGGCATATCGGTAAATATAATATTAGAAATAGGCACTTATAAGTTATCTGTGAAATCATGAACCTACAAGATTTGCAGAGTACAAAACCGACAACTGAAATTTGTTTGGTTATGAGGCGACTCTTTGAAACTCCAAGAGGCAAATTCCGAAACAATTATTCGGAAAATTTGTTGTGCAACCAAATATTATCAAAATGAAACGCTTCGTTTGAAAATTTCATGTCATTTTGAAATTTATTCACCCACTAATTCCTTGAAAACGCCTTTTATCCCTTTATACGTTGATGACACGAGGGGGAGTTGAGTGACTTTTTTTGTACAGAGTGAGCCAAATTAGACTCTTTCGAAGGAAAATTCCTGATTTCAAACTATATATATGAAAACTGTTTCTGACGATCAAACTTCATGACGAACTCAAAGGTAAAACCGCAATCCGATATCTATCATAGTTTCTGAGTTACAGCATGTTTCTCGAAAATGTTCTGTAGAGTTGTTTTAACTTTTTCCCTCTCAATTTTTTTTTATTAAAACATTCCCAAAGCATTTTCATACGAAGAATTCAATGTTGTAAAAAACTTATTCTTTCAAATGAGATATCAATGGTTATTTATGGAAAACTGTTTTTTTAATGAGACACCCTACTCTGTAGTAGTAGCAATAGTAGTATTTATTTTTCTTGTTTAAAAGTATAAAATTATTTTTCACAATGTCTTCATACAGTAACAAAAAATACGTCGTAAATAAAGAGAGCGTTTTCACACTAGACTATTACATCTATACTTGAAGCTTTTCAACGTAGGTGAGTTTTGAACTCAATCAATATGAACACCCAACAACTTGGTGTCATGCGATAACTGAAGGGAATTTTCGAAAAATGATATATCATTTGGTTTTTCCTCTGCTGTTAGATAGTTGGCAAATAGCATCACTCTAGTTTTCGACTCGTTCAATACTAACTTATTTATTATGTATATTATGTATGTATTATTAATATGTATGTATGTATAACTTATGTTATTATTATTATTATCAGCAATTATATTACCGTATTCTGATTGCAATGATAGTTGTTGAAGAAAAGTATGAACAGACAGACTTCCGATGTTTATGTGAATGGAGAAGAAACAAAAAAAGTAGAATTTTGAAGTTTCATGAGATTGATCAATTTTCCCACAATTCAACATTCTCTATCTCTTACATTCATGATATCTCAATGCGTAGATTCAAATTTGTCTATATTTATTTTAATTATTCAGAACTATTCTCTATGCAAGTATCAATTATTGTAATAATTAGACAAATAATATTTTCGTGATGTCGCAGATCGAGATCGAGTGTCAACATTTTTTGTAACAGTTATTGTTTTCATGTTCTGTCATTCATATTTGTTGTTCAAACATTACGGCTTCAATTATTTTCCAGTTATGATTTACTGCCATAAATAATCTGCTTGTTTTGTTATCTGAATGAAGAACCATTGAAAATAGAATTCGAAATTACCACTCACCCTATGGATTTTGTTATCTCAACTTTTTTGCCATATCATGAAAACATCCCAAATCTTCAATTCTATATCTAGTTCATTTTTCTACCCCTGCATTTTAGTTTTGTTAAAATTCGCAGCTACAAAACTACTTACCTTGAACACTCATCAAAGGATAGGTTCTACAATCACAAAATTGTAATAACTGATAACAATTCTTTTTCAGGTGTGGAGGACACTAATGATGGATATTCAAGTAATGAAGGCGAATTTTTTGAGGATGATCCAAGGAATCTCAAACCTGGTATTCAGATAAAAAATCTTTGTAAAGTTTTTGGCAATAAAACGGTCGTTAGAAACTTTTCACTTAACATGTATGAGGATCAAATCACTGTTCTGCTTGGTCATAACGGAGCAGGAAAAACCACAACAATGTCAATGTTAACAGGTAAGGACTCTACACCAATTATTATACTTCTCCTATAAATGGATCCATTTTTGATAAATGAATACTTATTTCCTATGTACTTTTTCAAAATGAAGATTCCGTGTCGAAAAATAATTCAATTTGAATGTAAACATGAAGTATAATATCGACAACAGGTGTCCCTTGATTGATTTCTGCAAGGTTCTGCTGTTGAATAAATCATCTGCGAAAATTTCCTCTGTGAGAAAATTTGTACAAATATCTTTTTATCTTTTTCTTAGTGGTCTTCTGAGTGGTGAATGCTTCAAATTTTGATTGAAACTAATAATTTTTGTAGTACTTATGTATCTGTCATCGACACAGTCATCGCACTGATTTGATTTTTGCATTAAATTCTGCCACTAGAGAAAATTTCGAATAAAAATAGATATTTTTCAGGAATGATAACCCCTACAAGTGGTAGTGGAAGAATCAACGGCTGTGACCTTAGAACTAATATGGATGGAGTGAGAAGTAGCCTCGGACTTTGTCCTCAACACAATATCATTTTTGATGATTTAACAGTATCAGAACACATCTACTTCTTCAGTAAACTAAAAGGACTATCAGGAAAACAAGTCGAACAAGACATTGATAAGTACATCAACCTTCTAGAACTGGAACCAAAGGTATGCTGATGTTACCAGTGGTATTTCGTTAAATGAGTGAGCAATGACTTCAAGGATCATTTGTGATGAGTAGACATGCTGATTCTGAATTGCATACATTATTTCTGATGCCAAAATTCTAGATGAGGAAATTTGGTCTTCAGTTCTTCCGTCTTTTTTAAATGCGACCACTCCCACTCGAAACTGAAAATTATAGTTATTCTTCTATTTGCCCTGAACTAATATGACTGAGTCATCTGCTAATCAAGCAGTTTGCATTCTGCATGATCCAAAAGTTATTCGATCGTATTCGCTTGGCGTTTTCGAAAAGTTGACCCTTTTAGTCTGTTCTCTCAGCGAGCTAGATCTCCATTCGACCAAGAGATATTTCTGTTAGATCTCTATTCAACTGAGGGATAATATTCTATGAACGTAAAGGTGGTTACTTTCTGTGTTCTATCTTGGTCTGTAAAATCCTTCATCTCAAAGCCCATCCGGGCTAGACTAATATCCAGATCTGCCTTGTAGGCTTCCCAGTTTATCTTTTGGGAGTTTTGATAGAGGTATGATACCCATTAATTTCAACCAATGATGAACTGTGATCCATTTGTTCTTCACTAACTTTCTCACTCCCTTAGTTGGTAGAGGTTCCGGACTATCGCAGGAAGAAAGTCGGGCTGATCTGATAACAATTTTTTGAGAACCTCTCTCGCTGATCGTCTTCAGCTTGACTACTGTCAAGACGTTGAAACAAAAACTAATTAATGGCAGTATATTAGTTTTTTTACGGATAACTATGCATATTTCTGGGGTTGTCGAGGTTCCGTTAGAAATTAGCTTTCCTATAATTCTCCCCAATCCCATGATTTTTTTCTGTAAACATAGAGTTCTTGTATGACTTTCGCAAGCACTGCCAAGGTTTGTCAGTGCTACTGATGTATGTTTGTTTATTCTACTTTTAATATCATTGCTAAAGTTAGGGACATTCAGGACCCTGGAGGAGACCATGCCCAGCTTATAGTAGGGATTGAAGATATTCTTCTCTAGAGTCCTGGAGGAACTGTACTCTATGGAAAGACCAGGTCTTCGACCTTCAGTGAATGATGAAACTACGGTGTAGTGAGACGTGTTTTGAATAGAACGTATTGTGAAAATACTAGAATTATTATCATGGATTTTTTGTTAGGTAGAAGTAAAATTATTTTAATTGTGGGTCTTCAGTTCCACAGTGGAATATATATTTATTAGTGGTACATAATTTGAGAGAAAAGTGATGTAGAGGATCTCCCGATATATTCAGTTTGAATATATTCATTCGTGTTGTCAGAGAGAAAATGAATCAGTATTTTCGTAGCCATTGTTTAATTTGCAGAACCAAAACAAATATAATGTTAAAAAATGTATGTATGATCAGTACTTCATCAACAGAATAATGTGCTGGAAGATACCCTCGCATTTCACCTACTTTTTCGAAACCCTGACGTCTACGCAAATCTTTTTCTGTCGTCCAAAATTCCCACAAAATTGAAAGGGGTATATTTTTAGGAGAGAAAGGTTTTGGATTTCTACTTCTCCCTCAAAACCTTCTGGTCTTGAACGCCAACCCTACTAGAATACAACTCTTTTCACTTACGATTCCCTATTTATCGCTGTTACCAATGTCTCGTGGTCCAAAATTCGAAGACCTTCTCAAAATTCAATTTCAGAATCGTCCCTGTTCATTAAGATACTTTTTATGCATGCCTGTATTTTCATGTATTGAGTCTAGTTTGAAATAATCCTGAACATTTTTTCAGAGGAACCAAAAATCCTCGTCATTATCTGGAGGCATGAAGAGAAAATTATGCGTGGCTATGGCACTTTGTGGTAATTCTAAAGTGATAATGTTGGACGAACCTACTGCTGGTATGGATCCTTCTGCCAGAAGAGCTTTATGGAACTTATTGCAGAGTCAAAAGGAGGGTGAGAATTCTAAATTTATAATACATCATTATTCCAATTCGCAAGTACATACGAACATAATTTTAGTGTTGAAATTTGAAATTCAATAGTGAAACGGAAAACTTGTTGAAGTTATATGAGGAATTCAACTTTTATTCAATAAACTATACAGGCCAACAATGTAGTCCCAGTTCTGAAATACCGGGCAGGCGGTCCTCGATTAAAGACAGAATGTGAATAACAAAGCACTTAATAATAATAACCTTTCTCGATCACATATCATTCTGAAAAACATGTGGATTCGTTTTCCGATGACATTCCAGGTTCGCTTCCCACATTTCTGCTACCGCAGTTGTCGATGTCGGTTGATTGGTCAAACCACCAACACTGACGTAAACACTTGGCAAGTTTACTTGGATGTCACACCAATGGGTGGTTCTACTAATATTCCCATATTGATTTCAATTCAAGAGCCACCGGTAGACAGCTGTTTCAGCCTCTTGGGCATCGTCAGTACCGAGCGGCGGTTCTAGATAGAAGACAAAATGTGAATAACAAAGGAACGCACTCAATAAAAATAACCTTCCTCGATTACATATCATTTCAAAAAATATGTGGGTTCGTTTTCCGATGACATTCCAGGTCAGCTTCCCAAATTTCTGCTACCGCAGTTGTCGGTTGATTGGTCAAACCACCAACACTGACGTAAACGTGTCACACCAATAGGTGGTTCCACCAATATTTCCACCGGTAGACAGCTGTTTCAGCCTATCGGGCATCGTCAGTACTGAGCAGGCGGTCTTCGATTGAAGACAAAATGTGAACAACCAAGAGAAGTAAAAAGAAAAGCTGCGTGAATGCAAGCGAGACATAAGTGGAACCACCTATTGGTGTGACATCCAAGTAAACTTGCCAAGTGTTTACGTCAGTGTTGGTGGTTTGACCAATCAACCGACAACTGCAGTAGCAAAAATTTGGAAAGCTATCCTGGAATGCCATCGGAAAACGAATCCACATGTTTCTAAAAATGATATGGGATCAAGGACCGCCTGTCCGGTACTGGCGATGCCCAACAGGCTGAAACAGCTGTCTACCGGTGGTTCTTAAATTGAAATCAATATGGGAATGATCAGAATAGTACATCTATTCATCTTTTGATTTTCATGGAATTATTTTCCAGCAGCTTGACTGCATCTGTATTTGAAGTAACGCAAAATTCTAGAAACAGGTTGATTATTGAGAAAAAAGGTTTTGGCTTTTTACTGCTCGATCTTTATACAAATAAAATAAGTAAAACAAAAATTCATATTGAACGGTTTTATGGAAAAATAATAATAATAATAATTAAGTAGATAATGTACTGAAAAAATAATGCGGAAGGTCCTAGGTAGCAGACAGCAGTCATCACACCACTCTTCTCAGCAATCTACGGTGATTATCAGATAAAAAAATAATGAAATTATTGGGCATAGCGTAATTACTACGCTCACAATTTTTTTCCCAATCTTTGAAGCAGTTCTGGTATCCACTTTTTCTTTGAACTCTCTCAGCGATTCGGTTTCCATCTCCTCAATCGCTGTCTTTTCATGGGTCTCTTCGATCCCGGGAACAGGAAAATGTCGCAGGGGGTCAAGTCTGGTGGATACGGTGACTGAGGTATCATAACGGTGTTGTTTTTGGCCAAAAAATCGAGAATAAGCAATGACGAGTGCGTAGTTCCATTATCGTGATGCAAAAACTTCGAATAGTTTTCCCACAATATTGCTTCGTATTTTGTATTGATAGAACTTGTCGTACTTTTTACTTTTTTGTTCTTGGCTCTCTTGGACTCTTCGCCGTTGACGTTATTCAACAATTCCTGAGCAATGCTCATGCGAAGGCTTTTTCTGTCAAAATTCAACAATTTTGGAACTAACTTCAACACCACACGCTTCATGCTCAAAATTTGGTGTTCTGAATTCGATTAAGTCAAAGAAGGTATTTTCGCCTGATCCTGATTGACGAAGGTTCTGCCGTTGAGTCTATTGGCAAGAGGTCTGCGTGAGGTAGAACTTGCGGAGCAGGATCGGACCTTTTCTTTTGACCATTGCCGGCTACTGCTGACGCAGATTTTGGTGCGATAGCATTTGGTACAATAGCGCTCTGATGTGATAGTTTGGCCCAGTTGCAGAATATTATAGTGAATCACACCAGCCGCTGACCACCAAACAGTAACCATATTCTTTTTGGTGGGTTTTCGCCTTTGGGAAGAACCTGTATGATTCATCGGTATCCAACCGCTGTTTCGAACATCTCCTATTGTCGTCGACCACTCTTTTTCATACATGACAATCCTTTCCAAAAGTTGGTTGTCCAGAAGCGAAGGGTAACAGAACTCGAAACGTGGCAATTCCTGTCGAATATTCAGATCGTAGAGCACCTACTTCTCGAGACTGTTGACCTTTCCAATACGTTTTAAAGCATCAAAAGCCGCATGGGAGCTGATGCCTAGTTCTTTCGCCATCCCGCGCTCCGCTTGTAATGGGTCAATCTTCTCCAAGTTCGTCCTGGATTACTGTTCGTCGACAGCTTCAGGCAGTGGCGATTCTAAAACTTAGGGGCGGGGGCACACCATAACTAGGCGACAAGATTCAGTAAAAAGGCACAGGTATTTGAAATAATACTGCATTTCCCATTGAGAAAATAAATAATATCACAACACTCTAATAAAAGAAATATTTCAATTTGTTGTGGAATTGGTCACGGTGGTAGTGCGCCCGACGTACGATTGGAAGGCCGTGGGTTCGATTCCCGCCTCGACCAGATATTTTTCTCGAGATAATTTATCAGGTTGAAGCTGGGATGACTCTGCAACCGTTTTAGGAATCACATGTTGAAAGGTAAGACCTCGTTAGTCCTTAGCTCGCACAAGTTTCTCAACTTCTGAGAGTTGTTCGTATGGAGGCGACAACTGATTAACGGAAAAACAGATTTCTTCTTAAACAGATTTTTTAATAATAAACAATGAGCACTATCAAAGGGCAAACTGCCCCCACTTTCCCCTTGGGGCACCGCCACTGGCTGCAGGGCTCAGCTTCGAGGTTAAAATCTATAGAATGAAATTCAGCAAACCAACATCGAATAGTGCGTTCATCAACACAGAGCAGCGCTCTGGTACAATTTGAATCCGTTGAAAAAAGTTGGTCAGAAATCATTCAATCACATCATATAGCAATGAGCTGGAAAGAGAAAAACATTTTGAGAAAGGAGTGAACAGCATCAGTGTTGAGAGATATGGAGCTACAGAAATACATGACTTTGAAACAAATTAAACCTTTGAAACATTCAATGTTAACTATAAGTAAAAAAGGAAACGATTTTGGTATGTTCCTAGGTATCCGAAGAATAATTAGACTTCTACATTCATCTTCAGTTCTGAGAATATTTTTCATTCCAGGACGAACAATGCTCCTCACCACACATTTCATGGACGAAGCTGACCTTCTTGGAGACAGAATTGCCATAATGGCGGGTGGTGAGTTGCAATGTTGTGGTTCAAGTTTTTTCCTCAAGAAGAAGTATGGCGCTGGATATAGTCTCATAATGGACAAGACAAAAGACTGTGACGCCGGACAGGTGACGCGTCTATTGAGGAAGTACATCCCAGATATAGAAGTGAGATGTGATTTTATATTAATACCCAAATCAAATACGTTGAAAATAATTATAATGGATATTTTCAGATCACTAAGAACTTTCGTAATTTCAAAAATATGCTGCTTTTAAGATTTGTCAAATGCATATAATATTTATCTCACAAATCGTTCAGTACATTGTTTCTTTTTTTATGAATTACTGTTGAAAAATAGCTAACAAATTGATTGGTGAAACGAGAGTTGAGACAAGTGTTGCACTTCTGATGTTTGGGAGTAGTGCTTATGTTGGATTTTTTCTGCATCAGACGTTAGCTCTGCCTTTTAGAATTAAATGAGTCTTTCCAAATTCACTTGTTAAATTTACGGTTTCCAAGTATCTGAGTTTCCTAGAATTACATAAAATACAGAGGCATGTTCTTCCATGTTTTGTTGGGATAATGAAAAAGCAGCTAATTTTCCTAATGAGAAGTCCGATTTTGTGTTTTTTTTTGTAGATTTGAAGTTGATTCTAAAAATGGTCATTTGAAAATTCACTGAATACCATTATTATACAAAAACTTTTACATGGCTAGCGGAAGGTATTTTTGCAATGTAGCATAATGATATTGAATATTGGGATTTTAAGATTCATCAAGTTGAAGTATATCATTATCTATTGAGATATTTCTCAGGTTCAAATGAGCTCAACTGAAATAGATTTACAATTACTGGGGATTTTTTCCTAACGCTGTGATTGTTTTGAGAGTATAGTCATAAAAGATGAATTTACCATTTATCAAAGATAAATCGTGAATGTGCTAGAATCACTTCTAGAAAAATGTTTTTGAAGGAAAATTTGATGTTGCCACGCGCTCCCGCTAAAGAGACTTTATCAAATGAAATAGTTTTTTATAACATAAAATGTCAATTTAAAAATTTCAAAAAAATCTAGTATCTTCCTAACACCTGAATGAATCGAGTCCCGTAGAAAAAAAAGTTTTTTCACCATTTTTCAAAAAGTTATTCAATTGTTAACTAACAAATTTTGTACCAATCTCCGTTGGCATAAATAATGGGATAAAAGGTATAAATAATTGGCCCATAAATTTCGAACTTCGTGGAGCCCTTTTGATATATATACCTCATACGATCCTGCGATAAAAGTTCATGAAAATTCATTGATTTGTTAATTATGATTTTTTATAACTATTGCAAAATGAAATATCTAAAAATTGTTGATGACATTTTTTTTTCAATTGATATTTAGCTATGTCTGTTTTAAAATTGAACAATGACAATTATTGACATAGGATATGAATTTTTTACGTAATTTGTTTATTAAATTGTTTTAAACAAATACAGAATTTTCTTCTCTTCAACGAGCTTTTTTCAACATTGCTTAAATATTGATAGTTTTTGAGTTATTAACGAAAAACTAAATACACAATTTTTTAAAATCTTATTTTGTTAATGACTATTGCTGGAGTTTTTTTTCCCCAACACCAAATAATTATTTATAACACCTCGAGACGTGTTTCGATCAACAAGTGATCATCTTCAAGAGGAAGATCAAACTGTTTGCAGCTTGATCTTCCATATCCTTGGATATGGATACTGTATTTCGCCAGTCGCCATTCCATTTATGTCGAACTGTTTGCGTTTGCTAGTTTGAAGTTTCTGTTGTCTATTGTGATATTTTTGTCCAAATCTGTGGTTTTAACTGTATTTGGTTAACTCTATACAGTATTATTTACTATTGAGTGTAAATTCGATCGATGACTGACGACGGATTTACAATAGGTCAATCCGATAATCTTGTAGTTATTGATATGTTCATGGTAGCTGAATTCATTACAGAAGCTGAACATTTATCTCTTGGTGAATGAAGTACGCAGAGTTAAAATAGACAAATAAGTACAATTATTATTTGTTGTGAGTTCAATCACTATGTATAAATTCTATGTACTTCTGTAATAAAAAATAATACTCGTGAAGTGGGGTAAAAGTAAATAATATAGATACAATATAGTACATAGATACAATATGAAGCAATGTCATTGTTTTAGTATACCTCAAAAGTATAAAAATAAATATTATATATAATATCATAATCGGAGATAACTATTTGATAATAGAGCCTAACTTAGTGACATTTCTATGAATAATTTGGGTTGAATTGTGTCAGTTTGGTTAGTCTTTATTAGCTTTATGATTAATAATAATTATAATATTCAATTATCCCTAGCCAGAATGCAATTATCAGCTATAATATCCCAAGGACATTGATAACTAACGAAATAATTTCATCACAGTTTTCGAAAGCAGGTTTCATTGGTTATTTCAACACACATGACTAGAAATAGACAAATTTGATAGGATAATTTTTTTGGCAAAAAATTTTCAGTGTAATGATGGTTTCATTGGTTATTTCGACACACATGACTAGAAATAGACAAATTTGATAGGATAATTTTTTTGGCAAAAAATTTTCTCACAAATCAGATAGATAACAATATTCAAATACTTACATTAAAATGGTCTTCACATACATGAAGAGCTTTGTTGTTATGTGAAATATCATTTTCATTTTATTTTAAACAGAATAAACAGATTTTGTTCAACGATTACAATCATCTTCAGGTAGGTACTCTTGTAAATATTTTATCAGGTGGTTTAATGAAAGTATTTCTGCACAAAGGCACAATGTAATATTTGTAATATTGTTTGTGTTCCATTGCCTTTGAAATTGAAAGGCCTTGTTAGACTTATAAATTCAACAACACACAAACAAAGCTGAATCAAGGTTAATACAAATAACAAAACTATAAAACTTTATCATATTAATCTATTGAAAAAACAGGACCTCATCACATTTTACTCAAATGCGTTTCGCTGCAGCTGTTTAAATAAGTAAATTTTAACGGCAGTCTCAGCCTGCGCCATATGCGTGCGTCCAGATTGATACAGTATGACGTCATGACAGTTCACGTCTTTAAACGCATGTTTGAATTGGTTTTTCAACGCAAGAAACGCTTTATAGTTTTTATAAACTGACTATCGATATTTCACTGCTCATATTATGCAGTAGTTTATAGTTATCATAGCAGCATACATTTACGATATAAAAAAAATGTAAATCTTCCCTATTGTGAACACTTTGATATGGCGAATAGCATTTCTGCGAAATAAACTACGCACAATCGTTACTTAAAACGATTTTGTTTGAGTGATTTTTTGAGTGAAAGTTCCTCAATGTTTTCATTGTTTCCATTTCAGATTCATAGTAATGTAGGATCTGAACTAACATATCTTTTAGAAGATAGCCACGCAGCGATTTTCGAGCCTCTACTGCAAGAAGTGGAACATGAATCGAAAAGGCTTGGAATTCGAGGATATGGAATTTCTCTAACAACGCTCGAAGAAGTTTTCTTGAAGTATGTAGTTATTCATCTATTGTTGAAAGGTTTTGGGATGTGTGAGCATACAATATAACAGACATGGTTTGATTCAAGTAATGAGACATGATGATGTTTGGATTCACGGACAACTCTGAATCATTCCAGGTCTATCATTTTCAAATTTATGAAAAACTGATTGAATTTCAATAAGTTGAAACTGAATTCAAGTGCCTCAAAATTTGTTACTTTCGTACCGACAAAAACAAAATTTCATATCTCTGTTTGTTGGAAATAAAATAATTGAAGTTTTTGCAAAATTTTAATATTCAGGGTGTTTTTCAAGAGAGCTCACCATATTTCATTGAACATGTAACATTTATTTCAGGAAAAATTGCTAGAAAAATTGGACTGTCATCAAGAATACGAAAAGACAACAAATGAAACAAAATTCAAGATGTTTAGATCTAACATAGATATTTATGATATTGTTAAACAATTTCATTCTCACTGACAACCAATCAGATAAATATTCTTCTGAGATTACAGAATAGGGCTTCGAGAGTTATTTTAACTCAGGATGTACAGGGTGTTTATTAAACATGTTCGAAGATACTGGGCGAAAAAGAATTTCGGCAATAACAATATTGGTAATTTTGTTATTAACGTTGCCGAAATAAAAGTATAGCGTACTATACTGGACGTACTGAGTAATTACAAATCTAACAATACCTATGGTAACTATTAAAAACATTCCGATTACTACATACGGCTGCAGACATTCAATTTGCTGGGTGTAACGCAATTAGAAACGATCCTGGTGTTTTCGAAAGAGATCGGGAATCGATGAGGAGATTCCCGATGACTACCCCCTGCATTCGAGCAGGGGGGTAGTCATTTTCAACAGTTCTTGTAGATCAAGTAACGATATATGTTAGTTGTGGTAATACATTGTTATTGTCGAAATTCTTTTTCGCTCCGTATCTCCGAAGCAAAGCGCCGTATCACCGAAGGACAAATTATCCCTAGAAAAGTCAAAAGAATTAAGAATTAAGAAGAATTAAATTTTTGCCCCTTTTTTAAAAAACACTCTGTATATACGAAACTGACGTGAATGCATAAGTCCCTTGAAATTTCAGGTGTAATACGGAGAATATATCTACATACGTTCATATTTTTATATAAATTCATAAATGATATACTCCTTGAATGTCTCAAAAATAAAATACAATTATCAAGTAAAAGCCATCCATATAATACAAAAAAATTCATCAGATATCCACGAAAAAAAATTTAACACATCCTTTGGACAAAATCAATTATTCTCTAAAGGTTTGCTGAATTATGTCTCTATTAGAAATGAAAAATTGTGAAAGTTTGGTGATATACAGTGTCATCCCCAAAGTATGCACCATATGTCAAACTTATTTATTAAGGGTTTTTCGACAAAAAGGTATTCTTGATAAAAGTTTTTGCATTTCTTAAAACTAGATATAACTAACGAAATACTGTACAACATACGTAATATATGAGGAACCTTTAAATATTTGATTTTGTGACAAGAGTAAAGTACTCTTATTTTGAAAAATATCGGGAAATGTTACTTAGAAAAGTTGTTCAGCTTCAAAAAATACATCTAGATTTGGAGTCATGACCATCTGAGTGAAGTTTTATTCTTTTACCCATTTTTTTAATGGAGACACTACGAAAATAATTGCTAAAACGATAAATAGACAGCATCCTGTATACGACAGTTCATTCAAAAAGCCTGTAATATTACAAATTACTTAACTATGGTGTTAACCACGGACAATTGTTTTGAAAAGTAAATTAATTTTCAAAGTTTTTCGTGCAAAGTGATTTTTATTTTTTGTCAACACCAAAAATTACTTAAAATTATACAGTACTGTAACAAGAACTTGAAAACGATGAGATTGGAACCTTTGGTGTAAAAGTTGAATAACTTTTTTCGAGATCAATTGCCCTAACACCAAACTGATATTTTGGCACTCGACGCGCGTTTCGCCAACAAAGTTAGCATACTCAGGAGTTAGCTTCTTGGTAATCCAAAAGATAGACTAGAAAACACAGAAAGGTCGGGGATTTACGAAATCAGTTGTCAAGATTGCAACAGCAAATACATCGGCCAGAGCCGACGAGCGATTAAAACCCGCTTCAAGGAGCATTGTGCACACATGAAATACGGAAGAAGTGAAAAATCCGGTGTCGCCCAACATGCTCTAGACGAGGACCACAGAATTGGTGAAAACAATCTGAAACTGATTAAGCATGTGCATGACACCAGGCTACTCGATGCATGTGAGAGTCTGGAAATAGCAAAATGTAAGAACAGCATGAATGGCGATAAGGGACCCATCCCGTTTAGCCCGCTTTTTAATCTTCTGTTAGGAAGAGAATAATTACTAAAAACTTGCAGGTAGTTAATTACCGAGAAATTCCATATTGGACTTCAGGTATACAACCTCAGGTAAGAAATTTTAGTATATAAGGATTAAACTGTACTAGGTATCAATTTTCTTCTCCTGAGGATGCTAACTTTCTTGGCGAAACGCGCGTCGAGTGCAAAAATATCAGTTTGTTGTTAGGGCAATTGATCTCGAAAAAAATTATTCAAGAACTTGATAGTCAATGATATCAAATCACAAAACATCAAAATAAAATAGGTATTTCGGAACAAACTCGTTGATTTTCTGGAGATTTTCTTGCCCAAAATAAGTGTTTTTAGTTGAATCTCCAGAAAATCAATGAGTTTGTTCCGAAATACCTATTTTATTTTGATTTTTTGTGATTTGATATCATTGAATATCAAGTTCTTGGTACAATCTAATATATAAAAATGGATGTTTGTTGGTTGGTTGGTAAGCGATAAACTTCTACATCGCTCAACCGATCGTGATGAAACTTGACATGTGTAAGTAATTTTTCATAGAGAAAGTTTTTAGGCTATCAATTTTTCTGTAAAATAAGTAAGTCTATACATGGATGTGTATATCATGCAAAGAAGCAACTTTCAAAAAAAAAAATTCTTTCGAAACAAGTGCTTTTATAGGAACACTGAATTATACAGAAGATACTTTTCTCTACTCAGTTTGTATTCCAAACATTCGTTATGGAATAAAATCAGATATTATTCACAGGAGTTCTACTTTAAATGAATGGTAACAAATTGCACTCACATGGAACACTGTCATCCTCACTGGTACACATGGATGTTTCGTCGTGAGACACAAAAAGGTAGGTCATAAATTGAACCACAATCGGAGGTCAAAAATAACACTTACATGCTGCTGGGCTGAGTCTTTTTTTGTATGCACATTTGCATCGAAGTAAGTTATACCCAATCAAGTTATTTTTGACCCCAGAATATGTGGTTCCATTTTTAACCTACCTTTTGGTACATCCTGTATATATTTTGACTCGAAGTTGTCTCCATTACCTTGTATAGCACTGACGAGGAGCTAAAACTCCGGTTATCATTTCAAATGAGAGATAGTTACTAGCGATGTATTCGTATTTGGAGACTTCAAATTTAGCGTACCCGAAAATGAACCAGAACCTTAAAAATGAGAGGACTCATATGAGAAGAAATTGAATAAAACACAATATTAGTAACATACGTGGCTGAAAACTCATTTTCTATATTGCAGAGTTGGAGCTGATCATGGACAAGAAGAAATAAATAATGGTTTGTTACCTGAAAAAGAAGAAAATAATAGACAGCAACGCAACAACAATAAAGGTATGTATAAAATTGAGAGTCGGGTCTATAAATATTCTTTGTTCATGAGAGGGAAAAATAATTTCAATTTATTATTTGGGTAATGAATTCAAAGTTTTCCAAATTGAAGAGTTTCAATAATGAAAAATGTTCACTTCTATGTTATAGGACAATTAGTATAATTTTTTGGCTTTTCACTAGTAACGACTCAGTTTTTTACCGAGACTATACACTGAGCACCATATGTAACGGATAAATTCATTTTCTACGTTATTAGCCATTATCAAGAAAAACCCTGAAACACGTCGAATTATGTATTCGAAAAGACTCTGTGACATAAAAAAATCCCCCCTCCTTCACCCTCCTCAACGTGACAACCACTCCCCCAATTTTTTTAAATGCAAAAGAAGGTCAAGTAATACCTCATTTTGAAGGGTATTCAATTTTCTGTACAGTCATATCTTTATTTTTCAATTTCGTGCATGTGTCATAATGAAACAGAAAATTCAAAGTGTTGAAAGGTATCACGTAGGTATTCCATTGAATCCGTTCGCTGCACAATATGCCATGCACCTTCATTTTTTTTGTTTTTATCAACCGTTGATTGTCAGCCGTGATAGTTGAGGAAAAAATTGTGATTTCTGTGAACTTGCCGATGAGAAACAGTTTTGCACTTGTTGTTTGTGTTTCTTGTTCAGTAATACTTTCAGACAATAGGCTAAAAGTTCTAGCAATGTCTCATTTGACTGAACGTCAAAGAGTAAAAGTGTTAATACTACTAGGATGTGGGGATAAAACTAGAACCCAGAAGAATGTAAGTGAAATGTTCAATAATAAATATCCTGATCATCAAATTTCTCAATCTACCGTTAGTAGAATAGAAACAAAATTTCATGAATTTGGGACTGTCAAAGATATTTCAAAACCAAGCAGGAGTGTATTGATTGACGATGGGAAGAAATTGGATATTTTGGTACACATCGAGGAAAATCCACATAAACCTATCCGACAATTTGCCGCCGATTACGACATAAGTCAAAGTTCGATATTGCGTGTTTTCGATAGTGTAAAGTATCACCCTTACAATTGGTACATGAACTCAACGAAGACGATCCAGATCGCAGAACTGAGTTTTGCGAAATAATGGAAGCCAGGTGTTTGCGGGATCCTTCGTTTAAAAAAAATATGTTGTTTTCCGACGAGTCAACTTTTTTTTAAATGGAACCATCAACAGACAGAACTGTCGATATTGGAGCCGAAAAAATCCCCATTGGATGATGGAGGCCCACACTCAATATCCCAGAAAAGTAAATGTTTGGGCAGGGATTATAAAAATAATCGCATATTTGGACCATATTTTTTCAACGAAACAATAACCGGTGAACGTTACTTGGAGTTTTTGACTAATTTTCAGTTCCGAATCAAATAGATAAGAGTATCTGGTATCAGCAAGATGGTGCTCCACCACATTTTGCAGCTGACGGTCGTGCATATCTGAGTGAATTCTTTCCCATCAGATGGACTGGCAGACGAGGTGCCATAGAGTGGCCAGCCCGTTCTCCCGACATGACACCGCTTGACTACTTTTTGTGGGGTTACCTAAAACCCAAAGTAAACTTCAATAGACCAAACAATATTGAAAGTTTGCAAATCAGAATTAGAGAAGGAATAGAACGTATCACTCCCAAAACCATTCAAGATGCTGTTGATAACATTCAGCAACGCCTTTATTATTGTCAAGGAACATTTGACAGTGATTTGTGAAACGTGCTGACGAGCGTTGTCGTGGAGCAGAATAGGACCTCTTCTGTTGACCGTCTACTTCTGACGCAATTTTCGGTACATTTCTTCGATTTCCTCACAAAAAGACTCTGCTGTTATAGTTTGGCCCGGTTGTAGAAAGTTATAGTGAATCACACCAGCCGCTGACAAGTATGCAATACCTGTAGCCTTTTTTTGGACGATTTTTGCCTTTGGGAAGTAACTGGTTGGCTCATCAGTATCCAACCGCTATCCTGGACGTCTCCTGTTGTCGTAGAGGATCACTTTTTATCACACGTGCTGATCTGATCGAAAGCGAAAGCATAGAAAAACAGACTTCGAAATATGTCAGTTTATGTCGAACGTTCAACTCGTAGAGTACCCAGTTTTTCAGCTTTTTGATTTTTCCAACACGTTTGTGATGGGTGAGTCTCACCAGGGTCCTCAAATCCTCGTCTTCGATTACTGTAGGTCGACCACTTCGGGGCTCTCATCTTCGAAGCTAAAATCTCGAAACTAAATTTTACAACTTACGTCGAACTGTGCGTTAAATAACACCATCATTGCCAGATACCAGGATGATTTTTTGGGCTGTTTTTCCAGTGCTTTGGAAAAACTAAACAGAGTACTGTTTGAAGTACATCATTTTCTATCGAGCAGTGTATGGTACCACAACACGGTTGAATAAATAATTATTGAGATTTGAAGCTACAAAACCGCATGACATTGAAACGGACGAAACTTTACATGTCATCTAGAAAACAGAACGTCATATCCAGAATATGGATTTCAACAATGAAAACGTTATCTTAACCCTTTATGGATTTTTGACACCATATGGTTAGAATATTTTTTTAATCCATTAATGGGCAAGACAGTAGAAAAGCGTATTAAAATGCTCAAAATGCAGAAAATGATTCAAAATAACTCACTGACTTCCTTGAAAGTGTTAGTATATCCATATTGATAGTAGTTATCCGATTGAAGGTTGTAACCATATGGTTACAATGACCACTAAATTGGCATTGCCCCTCATACGTATCTAATTCATTATGTATACATTTCTGCACATGACAGCTTAAGATGTTCAGTAGATTGAAATACATATTCATAGAATTTATTTTTCACACATTTTAACGTAATATAATAATTTAATTTTTTTGTATGAAATATTTTAAACCAGTTCTTCATACCAGTTAGACATAATCTTGCGTCACATTTTTCGCACTTCAGGCGGCTTGTACCGTTTACAAAGTGCCTGCATCTTCCCTTGCTTGTGTGTATTGGCTAATGACCATATGAATCAGTCCTTGATGCAGAATCCGGTCTGTCAGAAACCGGTATAATTGGTACTCCAATGTCAAAGCTAGGTCGACCTCTTCTGGCTTCCTTTCCGCAACGAGACAAACCCATCGCAACCTCCAACCTAAACCGTTTGAGAGGTATATATTTTTGGTTCAAAGCTGCACAATCCATTCTATATGCGTTCACAACCGTCACATCTAAAAAATATGCAAATATGGGGAACTACCATATTTTTGCTTTGTGAGGTTTTTTATAAAGACCCATGAGAGCATTAGCTGTATCAACACCACTCATATTTTTATTATATTGTTTGACGATTGCTGGACACTTAATATCTGTTTTTGTCCTCGTATTTTTATTGTATCTCTTCACAGTGTCTATGGGCTCTATGCCATATAGAGTACTGCCTAATAAAACAGCCCTGTTATCAACCTATTCCACTACAATAATGCCTTTGTCTTTATCGGTTTTGTAGTCATAGTATCCTCTCCCTTGTTTCTGAAGAACTTTATCAGTTTCTATCGGGCAACCAGCAATTCCATTGGCTCGTAGTGTTCCCAGGCTATTAATTTTCATTTCATCCTTGAGGTACAAGAAGAGTGGCAGACTAGCAAAATAGTTATCAAAAAATAGAGTCGATTTGCCTGGATCATGCAATGATTTTGCTAAAGCAATTACAGTTGCAGCTCCAACACCCAAGTCAAACTCGTTCGCAGTAATTTCATCCGTAGTTCCCTTCAAAACATCAAAGGTACTCGAACCTTGGTGGGGATTAAAATCTAATATATATCCGCTTACACCAGCAATAACAAAAAATGTATACCCCCATTTATGGGGTTTCTTTTTTATATACTGACGAAGATTTCCCGCGACTATCGTCTCGTCTACAGAGTACTGATTTTCAGTGTGGAATTTTCGAAAATTAGACTGTAGTTTTTCCATCAAAGGGCGGATTTTGAAATACCTGTCCGTTGTGTTACCAGATAGATTTTCATTATTGTTGAAGTGAATATTACGTCTCAATTTTTTGAAACGTTTGGCTGATATCAAACTTGCTATCTGCTCAATTGGGGTGTCATTTGCCCAATAGTCTTCGAAAGACGGAAGATCTATTATTCCCATGAACAATAGTATGGATAAAAAATCGGGTATTTCCTTGAAATCGGTGTCTATGGATTTACCAGTTAGTTGTGTACTATACAGGTTAGTCTGGTCGATTATATCATTCATTATGTCGAAAGAGGAGAGTTTGGTGAAATACTCGATTGGAGCTGGTATCTCTTCATTTGTATCCGGAACGAAATATGTGTTGTTCATTCCACATATCTTCCTTTGTCCAGCTGAAAGTTGGTCCTTTTTTTTTCTTCTCCCTTTTACTTTTTTTTTGCTGTTGGATCCTCTATCGTTGCGTCCTCTTCGTCGAAATTTAGTTCAATTCCAGATATATCTTCACCATCTGATTCATTATATGCTGAAAAAAAATCGATTATCACCTCCCCACTTCCTTATATTATGATGGTTACCTGAAGTGAGATCCATAACTTGCTTCGTTTTGGCTTGAATTTGGAACAATGTTAGATTTTCCTCGTCGTCGAAACTATCAGTTCCTGGCCTAATTTTGTTTTGAATTTGCTTCAGAGTCATATTTTCCTCATCATCGAAACTTCCAGAACCATCGGAAATATCAGGCAAAGGTGGAAGTTTGAATTTCTTCCTCCCATGAAATGAACATGAGAGATTTGTTCCAAAATTTTCCATGAATATATATTTCGAAACCTAGATGAAATACTTTCTCAGTATAGGCAATGTAACCATATGGATACGCATATTTCAAAGTCAACATTGCTTCTATATTAGTGTAAATTGGATCGGAAACAAATAAACAACATATCACCTGATTCTTTCACAAAACAGCAGTGACACTATAGACATAAAATTAATATGGTTTCAGTAGGAATTGAAACTTTTATACGAATGTCACACATAACCTGTAACGCTGCAGCGCTACCAACAGGCATAACCTCGTAAAAACAGACATTTCGATTGGCGCGAAAACCAACCGGCTCTTTTCCCTCCACAAAAACAACGTACCTATATGGTAACGTAGCCCGCGACACGGGCAAACGGCATGGATATGATTTGGGAGGGTTTTGAAGTTGACGTGACCATATGGTTACGTTGACCATTAAACAACATACAAATATTCAGGGAGTCGCCTGATAAAGGGTTAAAATGTACACCTAAAAAAATCAGTTACTTAAATATTATTCAGAATAGTGAATTTAGATCTAATAAATTGTTTGTTTTGTATGCTATTTGTCAATGAAATAATACTGATTGAAATTTGAAAAATCTGTCGAAGAATTATCACTAATTTGATTTGAAAAAATCTGCGAATAAGATCGCATCTAGAACATAAAAACAATCAGACTGGGATACTCTAGAGATCGCTTAGTTCTGGTTGTTATTCACAGAGCTCTGCAAACTCTAGATCATCTCTTTTGACATTATCTTCTGTCCTACGTCGTATCCTTATGCTTTCTACCTCATCCTTTCTTTCCGAAGTTGTGATTTTCTACCATACCCCTGAGATTGATTTTTTTTTAGTCGAATAACTTTTCAATTGAAATAATTAATTTCAGTCAAAGCTTCCATGTCACCGTATTATACCAGTGGTTCCGGCCTAGTCATGAATCAGTTTCGAGCGATGTTTATGAAAAAAATTGTAACAACCATCCGTTCTTGGATTATGCTCTGTATACAGTTGGTCTTGCCTTCCATATTTCTTATGATTGCGCTTATTGTGGCAAGAAATAAACAAGTATCAGAAAACTTACCACCTATGGTAATGAATCTTGATAAATTCGAAAATTCCATAACGAAAATTCATAATATTGGAAAAATTGATTACTGTGGCAACTACACTGATGTCTTGGGAAAGTATGGATACAGTTACCAGAATGAAACAGATATTATAGCTAGCATGTTAGACTTGGTAAGTTGTTTTCAGTTTATTTGGAATACATATTTGGTTGGTTGAAAAGTTCGTAGGCTAACACAGCTGTCGGACTATTAGTTTGTGGGATAGAACATTGAGTGAAAGTACTTTTGTTAGTTTGAAGAAAAATGTGCAGAAAGAATTTCGTGTGTTGATAAAGCATTGCTTTTTGTCAAAAAAGAACTGTTGAAACCAAGGCTTGATTCGAAAAACATTATTTAGACTTTGCACTAGGAAAAACAACCGTTGAGAAGTAGTTTGCTGAGTTTAAATGGGGTGAAATGAGGACCGAGGATGTCCCAACTAAGTTGTTACCAACGAAAGCATCAAAAAGCCACAAAATATTTTTGGATGACCCCAAAGTGAGGTTGATCGGCATAGCTGAGGCTCTAAAGATATCAAAGGAACGTGTTGGACATATCGTACTATAAAGAACTATATTGAACTAGCAATTCGCCCTGGCTCCGCACGGGTGCAATGCTGACACTGAATATAAATTCACACACTGGAAATTTAAGGGCATGGAGAAACAATGATGGAAAGATGAGTTTCATCATAAACTACACCTCACGATTTGATCTCCACAAACTTTATTTGAGAAATATATATCATAATAACTTTATCAATTGATTTGAATACTAATATTCATATACTACAGGTAAATAAAGAACATACCTCTACCAGCCAAAGCAAAATTACTATCCTTTGATGTGCAGAATCTATTTTCCAGCATACCTCCTGATGATACTATTACTTTAGTAATAGAATTATTAGATGAAATTAGAGTGAACCCAGTTGTAATGGAATGGTAATAGTAATAGTAGGGACTGTATACCGTTATGCTATTTAACAAAAATGGTAAAGAAAATCCCTCAAAGACGACTTACCTTGAGTGGATTGCGGCTGTCTCATCAGAGTCCTGAGATTGCTAATAGTTCTTGGAATCTAAGCTAATCCGTGTATCGATTGATTGATTGATGGATCACCCTATATTGTTTCGCATTATCAGATGCTTCATGATTTCAACAGATTTCAACAAAATAAAAAGCATATGGTCTGAGGCTCATGGTTCGGGAGCTACAAATTATTTGAGTTGAAAACGAGCCACCCTGAATAACTTTTGGAACAATAATTTTCAGAAAAAATAAAAAACACCTCAACAATAGTATACAGCTGGACACGTTTTGACATATTCACATTTGATCTAACTTTCCTTATCGCATCCCCAGGGCATGCCACCAATTTTTTAATGGATTAATTGTATCGATATTCTCTTCATTTTGTATTGTCTCGTTCTATAATAACGATCACCTACTAGGTGAAGTAACAATTGGTGTTTCTATTTTTGTGAATTCTTGAGAAATAATGGTTTATACGCTTCGTGAAAGGATTGAAATAGTGCGTTTGTACTACCAGAATGGAAATAGTGCTAGAACTGCTGCCCTTATGTTCGAAGATAATCATTCAGGAAGAAATGTACGACACAAATACGTTTCGAAATTATTGAACAAATTCATGGAAACTGGATATGTCAACAATTTAAGCATAACCGTTGAGGATAAAGCTATTTGAACTGCAGTTTTAGGGCACTTTCATTAGTTCGGACTTCCATTGTCTAATATATAAAATGATTTGAAATCCCTGAAACAACTAAAAAAGAAAAATTGAAAATGAATAGCTGAAAATAACAATTATATTAACCAAAATAAACCTGAAATGAAATAAAATACAAGTAAAAAAATAGAACAATTGAATAGATAGAAATGAAGAAGTGAGAAAAGAAAATAAAAATATAAAGTGGAGAGATTCCAAGTCACGTTAGTTCACGACGTTTCGATTGTTAGTATCTACAATCGTCTTCGGGTGATGACTGGACTGATTCCTCCGAAAGATGTCTATTTATAGGTCGTTCGAGTACTTTCACTTATCCCCGCTTTCCATTTTCCGCTTCACTGGTTCATTTTATATAGTAGACAATGAAAGTCCGAACTAGTGAAATTCATCATGAAACATTGTCAATCACCTTCAAACAAACGTTTTAGGGCACGTTGGACAAATGAAAAATTCGCAATATCTCACAGTTATCTCGAGAATCAGGAACCAGTCGTACAAATGTTTTCAGGATCGTTCATAAGTATAAATTTCATCCATATAAGATTAGACTAGTTCATGTTCGATAGACGTATCGAGTTTTGTGAAAGTCCCACTGAACGGATCAACTTGCATCAGAATTTCTTGTATAAAATTTGTTTTTCGGATGAGTGTACGTTTAGTTTGAATGGAGAGGTGAATCGGCAGAGTTGTCGATATTGGAGTGAAACGAATTCTCATTTATACCGTCAAGTTCATACCCAACGATCTCAAAAACTGTATGTTTGGGCAGGAATTTTAGGTGACCACATCATAGGACCTTTTTTTATCGATTATAATTTGACTTGTGATAAATATTTGGATATGTTGAATAATACAGTGCATCAATAGGGCAATTGAGGAGGATATAAATTCATTCGGAAAAGAAATTGTTTTTCAGCAGGTACTGCATCTCCTCATTATGCAGCTCCAGTGCGATAATTTCCAGATGATCATTTTCCTGGTCGCTGGATTGGCAGAAGAGGTCCTACAGAATGGCCACCAAGGTCTCCGGATTCCACTCCTGTAGATTTTTTTCTAGAGTGTCATTTGAAGTCTAAAGTGTATGAGATAGAATCAGAAACACTAGAAGATTTTACAGGGAATATTATGGGGCATTGCAGAGAAATAACTCCCGAGATTCTAAACCATGTGAGGGCTGCAATGTAAGCTCGTTTGTACCTTTGTATGGAAGTTGGTGGAAACGTTTTTGAACATTTACCAAAAAAACTTTTTTTCTTCTAATTGTCCAGTCATCAGATTTTGAAAAAGTGATATTTTCATGTGCAAAAAATTAATTTCAATTATTGCTTTTTAGACACGAACAAATCCTAATCTGGCACGTAGACGTTACATTGTTGGAGCATCTTTTGATGAGAGAAGCGTTCCAAATATCACAGCCTGGTTCAACAATGATCCTTATCACAGTCCTGGTATATCATTAGGTTTAGTATTGGATAGCGTTTATCAAAAACTATTCAATGGATGTAATAATGAATGCAGCCTTGAATTCACTAATCACCCATTTCCTTATACGGCTCAGACCCAAATCAATCAACTCTTAACTGGACAATCCATGGGATTCCAATTGGCAGTCAATGTTGGATTCAGTATGACTTTTGTTTCTAGTTTTTATGTCATCTTTATCGTGAAAGAGATCAAAAGTGGCTCCAAACACTTGCAATTCGTTTCCGGAGTTAAACCTTACGTATTTTGGCTTACGCAAATCTTATCCGATTTTTTGACATACCTAGCAACAATTATCATATACCTAATCACGATGGTGTGTTTTCAAGAAGATGGATACAACACTGCTGGAGACATCGGTAAGTACACCAAAAGATAAGTGTTTCACTTACAGACCGGAGTATGGTGGAAGATTTTGTTGAATGATTTCTTACAGTATGGCGCTTTTAAGAGGGGTTCGTATACGAAATAAGTGAAAGGAAAATGATGTTCTTAACGGCGGTGTGCCGGTCGCTATTGCAGAATAATTATATCGTGCTGTCAAACAATTTCTTTCATAAAATTTCTTCAATTTATTGGTATTTTAACAAAAAAACAAAAACCAACAGGCGACATTCTATCGTATGTCACCGATTTTTGGGATAACGCAATCGGGAATCATGGAGAATCAAGAGCTGTTGCGCTTGATATTTCTAAAGCCGTGTGTGACATGAGAGTTTGCTGGCTGAACTTCGATGCTATGGCATGTCGAATAATTTTTGTGTATGGCTTTTCTGCTTCCTTACAGAAAGTTCCCTGCAAGTGGCCGTCAATGAATCACAACACAACAAAAAAATATTTTTTGAATGTTTCCTACACTAAATTAGTCAATTTCTACTAATTTTGGGGTGATAAAAACGAAAATAACAATGAAAAATTTTTATTAGCTCTGGTTTTTGAGATACACAGTACTTAATCTTAAAGAGTAGTTATACTATACGTGAAAAGTGAAAGTACATAAAACAATATTGTTATGTTTCTTTTAGAA